AGGCACGAACTAGGCTTACAAATTGGTGCAGACACGAATTGGGCTTGCAAATTTTTTTCTATCTTCCAGCACCGCCAGCACGAATCTTGGAGCTGGATCGAACGGACAAAAAAAGGAAAGTTTTCAGCGCTGAAAACTGTCGATAGTTAACTAGCAAAAACGTGCTTTTAATAAAGGGTCTATCTATATAAATCATGTGACACAAAATCAGAAATGTATCTTAGGCTTACTAATGACCTAAGATGTGACAATAATTTTGAACACTTAGGCTGTGTTATTGCATGGTTAATTAAGTATTAATTATTATTTTTTGAAAAATAGATTAATATGATTTTTTAAAACAACTTTCATATAGAATTTTTTTGCATAAATCACACCGTTTAGCAGTTTGAAAATCGTGCGCGCGAAAAACGAGTGAGGTGGGTTGGGAAAATAGGGGGAAGAACACAGCCTTAATCTTAGACAAATGTAGCAAAAAAAATTTTGGTAAATAGAGGAAATTTTTAGCAAATGAGTAAATTGACTGGAAAATATATAACAAAATTCTAAGTTGTGCGCAAGAGTATGTAGTGACCTTAGGTCACGGACAAATCAGGGATAGGTAGGAAAGTAATATGTTCCCAAAAGTGAGATGACTCGAAAAGTAAAGTCTCATCTGTTGTATGGTATTATGATATATCTGACCTCGTGTCTGATTACAAGATCATGACCGGCTTATATAGCCTCCGGAGGTACATGTGAGGTTACAATCCTACCCCTAACTATACATAGGAAGTTACAACAATACCCCTGTAAAGTTAGAAACCCTAATAGTATGGCGCCAGCTTATAGGAGTGGTTAAAATGGTCCCTGCAGTATCTTCTTGAGTAATATTCCTCACTCAATGATATAATTTTCAGGCTTCATCCGCCATGGTCTAATGGTATTTTCCTCTTGTGGTAGGCTAGAATACTCCTTTCCAGACTAGCGTTCTTACCATGTTTGTCAGTCTTTTAGTATTTACTTGTCACATTAGGTCGAAAAGTTTTGCCACGAGTAAAAACCTCTTTTCCAAGTGGGTAAGAGTGTTTCGATCGAATATGAGGATGGTGTTTGCCTCTTGCTACAACAGAGTATTTGGAATCTAGATAAATTTGGTCAAGCCTTCAAAGGTGTATTAAATTATATTTGTCTCATAAATTTTTAGTTTTTTTAGTCTTAAACACCATTATGTTTGATCAAATTACGTTATATTCCGCTAAAAGGAAGTTTTTATAGGTTTAAATGTTTCACTATTATGTTTGGTCGAATCTACATATCTCAAGTTGGCGGTAATGTCGCCGTTTGATTGGACCAAGTAGCAGAATGATTAGGTGGCATGTGTAAGAAAAAAAAAGAGAGAAACAACAAACGTCGCATGTACGCATCCGCCTCCCCAGCGCTCCCTTTCCTCCATCTATCCAGCACCGTGCACGTACCGACGTACGCTTCCGCTTGGGCCATTGGCCCAAACGGCCTCCCCAACATAACCGCGCACAGCAACAGCAAGCCCACTTATCTCCTGGTTTTATCTTAACTTTCTTTAATGAAAAGCTAACGTTCTGGCTCACGTATATGTGTACGGTAGCGTATACGTGAACAACTAAAAACAAAAATCATGAATAAACAACTAGCAAGACAAACTACAAATTTAGGATCTGTTTGGTACAACTTTAGCTTCATCCCCACCTCTCTTGAAGTCAGAGAGTCCAACCAAATAGTTTCAACTTCATTAAAAATAAAAAATTGCAGTGGAGCTGGCTAAAGTTTTCTACAAAACAAACTAGAGAGGTGGAGCTGATTTAGACAGCTCCACAACTACACTCCAGACCCAATTCTTATAATTAAATTTAAAAGTTAAAGTCTTACCAAATAGACCCTAATTAAAAGTGAAAATATAAACTAAAAGACATATAAAATAATAGATAAAATCATCGGATTTGAGCCCTCACTCCCACGGTCCCACCCATAGTCAATTCATACTCCTAATCTCTACTATTATAAAAATTGAAGATGTTTCCGTGGTCCGTAATCGGTGTTTGAGTCGGTTATAAAAATTGAAGATGTTTTCGCGGTTCGTCATCTGTATTTGAGTCGGTTTTAATTTTATGTTTTGGTTTTAATCTATATCTCTTCTCTATCTCTACTATTATAAAAATTGAAGATGTTTTTGCTGGTATTTTGGTATGTCATCCGTGTATGAGTCAGTTTTTAAGTTCGTTTGCTTTTGGAAATACATATCCGTATTTGAGTCGGTTTTTAAGATCGTTCACTTTTGGTAATACAGAAGGAATCATATAAGAAACATGTTTAAAAAAACTCGCATGCTAACTTGAGACGATCGGACTCCTAACTGCAGCTCATGATTTTCTAAAAATACATATATCCAAGCGAACTCCCACGGTGAATTTCATCTTAACTAAACCATATAACAATAATAATAAGATTAAAATTGACTTCACCCGTTGCAATGCACAGGCATTTTTTTCTAGTAAAACATAAAATAGACTATGCTAGCTATTGTTGATAAAACTTCTGTTGAAAAAAAAATATTATGTTCTAATTTTTTAGATCGTATAAGTTAGATAAAACACAAATTGCAGCAAAACACGAATTGTATTGAAAATTCATAAACTTTATTGAAAAATAGGATTCCGATTTTCTTAAAAAAAGGGTCAATAAATTTCACTACGATATGTTAGAGCATTGTAAATATTTAAATAATTATTACAGCTACACACGCAGGCTAATTAGCAAACGCGCCAAAGGGTGCGTTGATTTTCTAGTTCTGTTATATTTCACTAACAGCTAGGTTTTAAATGTTTGTAGTGGCATGTTTTAAAAGTTGTTAGGATAAGAATTTATGAAACTCAAATTCAAGTGGGAATGTTGCGAGAACACTATCCAAGTGGGTTTTATGAAACTCAAATTCAATATCGGAATGCATGTAGATAAATATCATGGTATTTGTTGATTGTGCTTATATTTCATATTGTTTCACCAAATTGCAAGACCCAGAAACTCTTTGGAATATAGTTTCAACTAAAATATAAAATAGTCCATATTTGGTCTCTCAATTGTGGTATCAGTTCATTCATCTCTCAAATATGAAATCGGTTGCTGCTGGTCTCTCAAAACCATATGTACTATGACTTATATAAATCATACGTATTATGTCTTGTGGTACACAAGCACATGTTTTATTGTCCAAGTGTTTCATAAAATCTCACCCTTATTCAAATCATAACTGATTTTAGAGTAAATTTCAGGTAACCAAGGGTATTATGGTCATAGTTACAGAAACCACAGGGATTTTAGCATATGGCACATAACCCTTAGTATTATGATTATAGTGTTTCATAAAACCACACACATTGACCAAATTGATCTTTGACCCCCATCACGTTTATGAGTTCTAAAGTCAAATATGAATTATATGATCCATCGTATAAAAGTCTCGTAGTCACATATGTCAAGCATTTTCTTAATTTTGCTATAGAAGTAACTCAAAATAGTTAATGGTGTGGTTTTATAAAACTATAAAAACATAATACCTAGGGTTATGTGTTACGTGTCAAAACATATGTGGGTTTGTGCAACTTAAGACTATGATACATTGGTTTTATGAAATTTACTCTCAATTTTATTATGTTTGGAGCATTATTTTTTTTAAAAAAAAGTAGTGAAGAGTTATACCAATAACCTTGACTAAAAATCATCAATTAAAAAGTTATTAGATTATACTTTAAAATTCTAAGTGTATGCTCAACAAACATGTATGGGTGGGTTTTCTGAAACTTTAGAAACATAATACATGGTTATGTACCACCAATCATAATATTTGAGGTTTTATGTAACTTTGACTATACACACATGAAATTTACTCATTTCTTTATTGGGATGGTTCAAAACAACAAGATTGTTCCGTTTTTCTTTTATAATAGATCAGTTTCGGTAGTTGCTGCATGCATGGTTTGATTCGATGTACTACTGTTTGATTTAATACATACATTGGAGATGCCAATGACATGACATTCCGATTTGTTAATGTAGACTCAACCAAAAAAAAAAAACCACCCTAGTTTATCGGTGGGACGAAATGTGAATGATCTTAAGAGTATGAATAAAACTATGACCAGGTCATCTTCTCACAAAGAGATGTCTTATTTCTCCTTTCTCTTCCCTATGTTTAAAAACATAAGGAACTCGAGATTTATTTCCTCCAAGCTTGCTAGTATCCACCACTAGTTGGGCACTACTAAGCAGATGTCCTCACTTATCATCTCCGTCTAACTTCTACTATGTTGCTTCCTCGTTTGGGGGTAGTACTCAACTTACCTACCTGCAGCTGCACAACCACAATAGAGCTCTATTGCTGGTTACTTCAGCTACAGAACAGCAACAGCCGCAGCCAGCTAAACCATTGAGGGCCTTTGACCTCTTTCAACCCCATCAGTGTAGTTGGACCAATTTGAACTCAAACATAAGCTTCCTTTGGTACACATGAGTTTTTTTCCTTGATTTGTATGAAAAATGAGCTCCTTGATGTAAAGGCTCTCTTTGTTTAGGCTTATAAGCCAACTTATAAGTCAAAAAGTCTAAGCCAAAACAAACAAGCAGCTTTTTCATTTGGCTTTTTTGAAGCCATAAGCCACTCTAACACTATTAAGCCAAAAGCTAGGTTGGAGAAGCTTTTTTTGGCTTATATGAGATAGATGTATGACTCCACCACTAAACTTAGGACATTAAATCCACTGGCTTATAAATCATATAAGTCAATAAACTGACTTAAAAGTCTAGGCCAATAAGCCTAAGCCTAAACAAAGAGGGCCAAAATCCCTGGAAATAACCATGAAATTCCTACCCGTCCAAGGATGCCCACTACAGATATTGTACTGCTGGATCGCTCAATAAGAATTTAAGAAGTGAGCATAGCTCACCTGATGGAAGGTGTGTGTTCAGCTTCATCCTCCAAGTTCAGCTTCAGTAAGCAGTACGCTTCATTCTTTTTTAAGATGAAAAACCCTACTACCTAATAAACTAAACTAGGAATCGTGAATTCGCGATGCAGATGACCTCTCTTCCTATCGTACCTCACCTGCAGTGCATATCTCTGCTCGGTCGCCACTGCCACGCCATGCCACTCCTGATGTATATGTTACATTTAACTTTACAAGTTGCTCCCTTTTCTTTTCCCATATATACCAGGACTATACAATTAGAAGGTCCGAAAGGCAAAGTGTACATTGATCGACAGTCTCGTGTACGATACCCTACACCAACTATTGTCCTCGTTTCACCACCAACCGGTGATGGCAGCACTGAAGATTTACAAATTCTGTATGTACTCTCGTAGTCTCGTCCAACAAATAGCTCCGACGAGGATGAACAACTCGAATCGAGCTCCTTTTCAGCCAAAAATATACAAGGAACCGTAAATATGTACCAGCTGCTTCACCCTCCCAGTCAGAGTCTTCTAGCGTCTCCTTCACCAGAGCCCTCAAAAGCATTTGAAGCTCCAGCTTCACATGAGCATAAGTAACTTCAGAGCCAGATAGGCTCACAGCATGTGCATCATCCATAGTTTGAACTTGCGCACGTATAGATATATGACGCACGGTCCAATCAGATCAGTTTCGGAGAGTCGCTTGCAGAGTTTCATGTAGGACTCCAGGCTGCCAGATTCCTGTATGTTTCTCCGCAGGGCGGTCAGCACAGCTGCTCTGTCTAGGTACTCTGGATACAAGCCCATGTCAAGCATCTTCATGAGTGTTTCCGAGGCCTCCAGATAAAAGCCGCCTTTGACATAGCCTCGTAGAAGCCATGACAGAGACTTCTTCCTTCTTCCAGCACTGGTTGACTCGACTCCAGCGAGCAATCGACGGACGGCAGCAACTTCTCCCTGAGAAGCGCAGATGGCCAAAACAACATCATAGAGCTGTGTGTCAGGTTCCCTACCAAGAAGCTTCATTTCCCAAAGTTGGTGCTCAGCTTCTAAGCCACAACCAGCGCAAGTGTACAATGAAAGGAGCCTCTCGTGCACAAGTCCTAGGACATCACTGCTGCCTTCCTCAATTGCCCATTTTGATAAAAGAACACCATCACTTAATAATTCAGATTGGTAATTTTCAATACTATGCATAGTCTCAGAGTCAAGTTTGGAAATCGAGCCCACCTTCACCGATGAATTCAATTTCCGCAATGCCTTTGAGAATTCCTTTTGTTCTTTAACCAAGGCAGTCAACCCAATAAGATAACTATACACTTCAGGTTGCAAGCCACTCTCCTTAAATTCAATGATCAATTTAACAGCATCCCGGTAATCCCCATCCATCTATCAGAAGAAAAGTAAAATAAAGCATTAAACAAATTGGCACCAAGAGATATATGTGAGATAGCATGGGATAGTGTTCACAAGCAGGAAGGACATATTAAGTACATAAGCTACCACAGACATATACCAAAGAAAATAGAGAACGACTAGTAACTTTGTGAAAAGAACTGTCCATTTAGTATTTTAGTAGCATCGGGACACAGCTTGTTTTTATACTGGTAATGCCGTGAACCTAAGTCATCCCAACAAACAAGTACTTGTTGACACTTAAATTATCACACCGTTGCCCCCGAAAGAATATTGAATGCTTGTTAAGTATAGAATGATCCTCTAAGAATTCAAGTAGCATGGGTCAAACAAAATTTAAATAATATAAGATGAATGCCATCAGTCTAAGTTACCCAAACCAAAAGGACCGCTTAGTTATGGAAGACTAGAGAAGGGTTAAAATACAATAGAACTAGACTGGTTATAGTATACCGCTCTAATATCAAAATGTTTCAGTCAAGTTCATCCCTCAAAAAAGAAAAATCCTTCAGCACACTTAATACTCTTAGGTTTCTTGCTGTAAAGGTACAGAAAAGATGGATCCCAATAATAAGAATCGCTATTTCATAGTGCTGCAGGTTTACTATTTAATATCTTGCTGTGTTGCAGTAGTATTCATTATTCAACGATAAAAAACAATTTATTCAAAATGATGCAGCAGAAAGCCCTAAAGCAGTGATACACTGGTCTCTGCAGGTACTCTCAATGTATTCTGAAAAAGAAATTTAGAGACACCTCAAGTAGGGTTTGTTTGGCTTGTAGACCCAACTTATACCTGCAAAATATTGAGCCCCAGTTCAAGTCTCCTAAAGGTTGGTTTTATCATTTGCCTGCCCCAAGGAACATCGTAATACCACAAAAAATTTATAATTCAAAATTGGACATTTTCCGCTGCAAAATTGTCCCCACTCTCTTTCTTAAAAAATAATCCATGATGACTAACAAATCCTTGTTTGATTCATTATCAAAGGCGAGTTCGGTTGGTACAACCCCAGGAATGAGCGTGGGTAATCCATGGGCAGCCAATGACCATACTGAAAATGCTTTTTTTTTTTCACTAGCTTTGAAGAAAAAAGGTGCATTAGTTCAGTTAGTGGATCAATGGGTACCTATAGGTGGACTCACTCCCATCACAACACAACCCAGAACTCACCAGCAATGTGGGGCTAAGAAAAAAGATCACTTATGTCTACTTAGCAACCAGCTTCCAAATTATTGGGCAACCAAAAATTTGAAACCAATGTGGTCCCTACTTGTCATAGAGATAGGTGGATAGGATTTTTCCAGCAATAATATGCAAGGTGCTAGCCAAAAATCTAGCAAGTTTTCTTAAAGCATGGCCAAATGCCCAAATTACATGGGACCAAAATCGAATTTTGGAAGAGAACTAAACAACAGCTCAACAATGGGAATAACCAACAATTGGATCAGGAAACCTGACACACCCAAACTTTTGTGATGAAACCAACATATATATTACCAATGTTAACTCCTTTGTTAAAACTTTTTGAGGATGATACGCATGCTGGCTAACAAAATAATTATATGAAACTCAATAAACTACAGTACATCTAAACAAGTGATCAATGTGGGGATTTAGTTGTTATGATTATTTTATAGGATAACACGTGATTAATTGATACGTTATTCTAACAACATATAATACAAACAGCCATGAGATATCAGATATACCAGAAGCGCATATTATAATGATCGGTTTAAAGTACTGTACACCTAATGTGCACATTGATTTAAAGACAAGAAAGCTGATATCCCAACCACCTATTAAATACTACAAATTATCTTCACATATAGTAGTAGTGATGTAGAGCAGGTCAACAATTCAGAATCAAAACAAGGATGCGACCTAACCGATGCCTAGTACACAGATACACATGATGTATTATGTCAACCTCGTGATTTCGAGAAGTCTAAGTTCTCAGCACAGTAGCAGTAGCACACAGTTTAAAGAACCAAGAGATACAGTAACCCAGGCTAGTACACATCAACCGCACAAACAATTCAATTGAGATATACAAGCACAGAAATGGGTAAAAAAAATCACTTAAAAAAAGAGGGTAAAATTGAAAGGGGGAAGAAATCCAATTACCATCATCCTCCACGCGAGGTATCCGACGGGCCCTCCGCGCTCGCCGTCGCTAGCACCGCCATACTCCCCTCCGTCGCCGACGCCGACGCCGACGCCCCCTCTCCTGAGGACGTCCCTGACGAAGTCGACGGCGCTGCCCCTGTCGCCGCGGTCCCAGTAGAGCGCGACGGCCTTCTCGACGAGGCTGAACCCGGGGCGGAGCCCGACGCAGTCCATCTCCCCGAGCAGCGCGGCGACGTCGGCGACGTCCCCGCCGCCGCCCACGAGGCGCTCGATCCACCCGCAGGCGATGGCGGCCATGAGCTCCATGGTCTCCCCGTCGACGCGGTTGGCGCGGCGGAGCCAGTCGAACACCTCGAGCGCGCAGTAGGCGTCGCGGCCCTCCTGCGCGAAGTAGACGAGCACCAGCTGCAGCTCCCGCGGGGACAGCGCCGCGAGCTGCGCCGACGCCGCCGCCGCGGCGTCCTCCCCTTCCCCCGCGAACGCCGGCTCCCGCTCGAGGTGCTCGATGGCGGCGGCGAGCAGCCCGCCGCCGCCGCCGCCATCGAGGCCCAGCTCGGCGGTGGTGTCGGCGACGACGCGGTCGAGGCGCAGGGAGCGCGGGGCCGGGGGTGGCGGGCGGAGGGAGACGCGGGGGCGAGGGGAGGGGAGGGAGATGTGGGGGAAGGCGGCGGCGCGGGAGGAGAGGGCCATGGTGGGGGTGGGGGATTGGGGTGGAGCGAGCTAGGGATGGGACTGGGAGGGCATTGGGATTGGGGGATTTGGGGAGGTTTGGGAGAGGCGGAGAGGGAGAGGAGAGGAGGAGAAGCGGAGACGTGGGCGAAGGCGCGAGGTCGAGGGGAGGGAGGGAGGAATGAATAGGGTGGGGCTGGGGAGTGGATAGCTGGGTGGCCGGCTGCACGGACGGCCGACGCTTGTCGCGTGCGTGCCGCTTGGCGTTTGGCGTGAAAACGCTCGCCGGTATCACCTCCACCTTCGTAAATGCAGAACCAATAAAAATATTTTTTCCTACCGGATAATTTTCTTTTCCATTTTCAATTGATAATAATGCTGTCAATAGTACAGCTACTCGCTCTAAAAATTCCTCCATCCTAAAATAAATCAACATATTAATACTTAGATATGATACTTCATATTACGTATTAGTATAACAAATCTAAACATATATCCATCCAAATTCGTTATACTATAAAGTGTCACATCCAACTATAGATTGATTTATTTTGGATGAAAGGAGTAGAAGATAATATATACAAAGAAAAAAAATACAAGAAATATCATTAACAAGCGCACAATTTTAAGAAATACATCGATAAGTGCAAGTTACATGAAATGTCATCGCATAAAAGTAACATTGTTTTAGAAGTACCATCGCTAATAGGGTCATCCCTCCAGTAAGTGCTATATAATGAAAAGTACATTTAATGGCGTGGGATGGACGGGACCCTAACGGCGATAGCATTTCTAGGACAAATTTGCTTGTATGATAATATTTCTGGGACAAAGTCGCTTATGCGATGACATTTCATGTAACTCGCACTATTTGATGGTATTTTATATGACTTCAGTGTTTGTCATTGGCATTCTCTTAGATTCTCTCTATGTATAAGTACCTCTATGTAATGTCCTAGAGTACTACTTTTTATTTGTGTAATGTAACCAGCCACTAGTGTGTCATCGTAGGCTCTTTGGATTAAGCAACACTGCATGCAGACATGAGAGGCTATGCTTAGCTGGTGCTTAATCTAGCGCTCGCTTTTATCTCTCTTTACCCTCTCTTTCTTCCCAATCATCTTGTATTTGACGTGTTTATTATTAGAACCAACTAAAATAAGCTATTGCACATGCTCTAACTACTATATTTTCGGTAATTTTGATCGCTTCAGATATGTCCATAGGTATATCCACCTCTACAAGGGTGTGTTTGGTTGCTCGAACAACCTTAGCCTAGCTCGTATCCCCATCTAAGCTAATCGTAACCAACTCTAAGCTTATGTAATTGGCCTTATTTGGTTATCTGCATTAGTTTAGCCTATATGAGCTGATATGTTATTTGGTTGTTGTATCATATGATGTTGTATACAAAAGATGTTGTTTGGTTGGTCGAGTTTATCCATTTTTTTCTTTTCAACTTTGTTGGCAATTTTCAGTTTAACGGTAAATTGAATGAATTTCATTGTAGCATAGGAGTAGCTTTTATAAAGAATTACTGGATTTTGTTACCAACTTTGGAGGTTTGGATCTCAATCCAACGAGAGTGTATTCTAAACTCTCGAGGAGACATCCCCTCACTGTTTGTATCGTATTCAAATGGTTATGAAAAAATTCAACAAGATATATTAATATATGATAGATCACTTCACAAATATGCTTCAATATGAATGTGGGTAATGCTAGAATGACTTACATTGTGAAACGGAGGGAGTAGTTAAAATCAAACTTCTATATAAGCTACGATAAAAAAACAAATTAAACTATTGCTAGTCAATATAAATTCAGAAGTTAAATTTAATTTTATATTTTTCTGAAGTGATTTATTAGATATTAATCTATGCTGTTAATTTTTTTCTATAAATATCTTTACCTATTATAAAAGTTTAAGATATTTTTGCCAGATTATTTGGTCCGTCAATTAGAATCCCAATCGTTTCCGTCGTCGTTTTTTTTTCAGCCTAATCATATGTTTCCTTTTTTTGTTCTCATGACCGTAACGCATCGTCGCCTACTATTCGTTTTTTTCGTGTCTCCTTTTTTTTCGACTCGTTTTGTCGTGTTTTTTTTGCTGTTTTTATCCGGGTTCTTTTTCTTCGTTGTTTGTTTTTTCCCGATTCGGTTTTTTTGCTAGGTTTCTTTTTCGCTTTTTTCAACCGGTTTTTTTATCTCATCCGATCTGTTGCATGCTTCTGTCGCCGGACCAAACCCTTACGCCGCCGCCACTTCGATCTGTCTCCCCATGCGTTTTCTCCTTGAACTGATTGCAAAAATTGATTCTCCACTCCTCTCTCATCATTTTTCTCATGATTTCTCCTTTCGATTCGGTTTTAAATATCTAGATTTATCAGTCACTAATTATGGTCGGCCGACCTTTTTATCCCAATTTTGTGAATTCATTTTGATTTTGGGAAAACCAAAAGAGGATATTGAGTGTATAAGTTGAGAGATAAAAAAAAAGATTCGACCGAATTTAATAGGGATTGCTCGCAATCTTCCTCCACGCCCGCTGATTCCACCCCTCTCTTTAAACCACCACCGCCGAATTCCCTCACAGCCGTCATCATCGCGATTGCCACCGATCCCCCACCTCGGGTTCATGTCGCGGTGACCGAGCCCCCGCCGACCGTCGTGCCGCGCCACCCTGCCTTGCCCTAGCGCCATCACTGATTCGTTTCATCGAGATCTAGCCGCCGGCTTCGTGCCGCCCGAGAGCAGGAAGAACACGGGGTTGGTGTGAGGGATCCTCGGCTCGATCGAGGTGCAGCCCATGCTAATTAACGGCGCCGCCGCAGCCATCTTCATCATCACCGGCCTCTACCCTCAGATGGGAAAGGAAATCTTCATGTTCCTGTGTTCCTTTTCTCCTGATTACAGGTCATGTCATTGTTTTGGCTTATGTTTGATCGTGCATCACGGCCTTCATAATTTCTGATTGTATTTGAGCTCTATCTCCGGACACCCTCATGTTGTTCGATGAAATGCCCGTACACATACACGGCAAGAAATCATGTAGTACATGGAGCAGATGTTCATGGGTAATATATGTGTTCATGGCTTTTAGGGTAACTTTTTTTTTCTAAAATTAATTGCACTGTTGTGCTGCACATACAGCAATTACTGAATTGGGATTGAACATCTTAAATTTTTATGTGTTACATGTAAACATGCCATTACATGATCTGGTGGCCGCCACTGCCCTTTAGCTACAACATATATTTGGATCATTCATACATTTATATATTTCTGAAAGTGGTCCAGGTCATCAAGGTTGTCTAAAGATATCGAAACTAATTCACGGACTAATTCAAAACCAATATTATTTTCTTAAGATCATAGATTTAGACTGTATATATGTGAATTGACGGCAACTATTGAATAAATATGGTCAAATATCTCATGAACCCGCCCTTTTTTTTCAGAATCCTTTTTTTGTGAAAAAATAAAACCATCTCATTATGGTAGTACTCGAGTTGTGAAGTTACCGATGAAAACATTCAAACTGAATTTGGTTGCTGCATTTAGGATGTCATAGGTATTTTCTTTTTTAATCTCTCTCGCTGATTTGGTTTCATTCATTTAGATGAGTATTGAAAACCTTTCTCTTGTGATAATTTTATTCAGTTATGTATTTCATTCAGCTGATGAATTATCCTTTGATCATAGCCATTATAAATGAAATATAAACTGAATTGCACTATCTGCATGATATAACTTCTACAATTGGATTATGTTTTTCTGATTTTGGCATATATTGTATATGAATTTCGTATACTTGGATAACCGTGTTTCTGGTTTGTTTAGGACCTTAGGGGGCATGTTTCTGAAATTTACCGTCTGGAAAAAATTCTGACATTGCTTATTATATACTCAGATTTTCCAGAAAAATGCTTATGTATTGCCAGCCTTCTAGCACATGAGTTTGGATGCTTGTTATTGACTGACATAATGATAACTTGCAATATTAAATCGGAATACAAACAGTGAGTATAAAAACTTTTGTATGAATGGAACCGTTTGTGTTATTAGAGTGAGGTTTACATTTGGTCAATATTATATTTCCGTTTATGTTCATGAAATTCATCTTGTTTCTGTTCAGTGCAGTACTCCCTTATTGATTCCTTCCTCATTTCTGAACAAAAAGGACTCACGAATCTTAGATGGCATCATCTACACTATTGATGCATCATCTGCACTATTGACCTCCTTATGTTCATGCGATGGATATTTTTTCAGATCAGTGCAGTACAATCCTACTTTTGATTAGTGATGATAAATAGAAGTTTGATCGTTGAACTGATCAATACAAGATCCTTATTTGTAAGTAGCATCTATTGCACCTAATTTTGTATATGCAGTACATTAGTTAGGATCATGTATATTTTGGTATTGCTGGCAAATATAACTCTCACCTTGGATCAAAAATGATTTCAGCTAAACACCACCTATATAAGTTTAACAGATATTTATCTAAACTCAAAACTGAAAAAAAAATGTGTTTAATGTCTGAAACTTGCAAGGTGCTACTATGATCTCTGAACAAATAAACGGTCTGAGTTTCCTAGCAGCAAATTGATTTGTTCAGAGATTTAGGTGGGGGCACGCCATAATAAATCGTTGAGACTAGGTCTTATAACAAATTAACATGATTTTTTAAAGCAAATTTTCTTTATATTTTTTTACATAAAATATACAGATCGGAAAAGCGTGCGTATAAAAATAAGTGAGTATAAGTTAGGAAGATGGAGTAAAAAGCACACCCTTAACCCACTAACCTATGTTTTGCCTCATTGTACCCCTTGAACTACTAAAATTGGTTTGCTCGAGCATTTATCTTCTTCGTCTCTTTTTATACGAGTCATATTCTAAAGCTGATATTTTGCAGGGCCAGACATAACACCATTATCAAAGCTCTAAAATATTTTTAAAAATTTTCATGACTATTGTTTGAAATTTGAAACCACGATGTTTAAATCATGCTTACTGCTTTGAAATATATGTATACGGTGGTAAAAAAATATGAAAAATACTGAGAGGTAGGTTATAATATATCTATATATCAATCCTACCAAATTTGCTTACAAAATACGACGTATATGGTTGTATATCTTTATCTACTTAAAACATTCATAGTGTTTTTGCCGTGCATCGTAGAAAAGTGTGTCTCACACAATTTTTCATCCGACATGTGAATTGTTGGTCCGTATCCATGTCCCCTGCAAGCGTCAAACTCTTCCGCCCACGTGAAACGGAAACAATCACGTATAAAAATTCAGTTTCCAATCCGAGCACGACAACATCACGCACCCACTGCCTGTAGCCTCAAGCAGTGACATGTGCCTCCCCTATCACAAAAACGAGACTCATGACGGTCAATTGTCTTTTGAGCTGATAGAGATTTTTTGCTGGTGGGTCTCACGAATATGTCTTCAAGTGTATAGAAATCTTGTGACCGCCAACAGTTCGTAGAATATACTTTACTCCCTTCGTTTCATATTATTTATTTCACTGAACCAGTTTTAGCTATTAATTATTTGGCAAAATTTGCTACAAGAAACGCAAAAAACGTGTAATTGGCTGAGAGACACCGTGAAAACGTGACACGGCTGATGGACACTACAAAAAATGTGTAATTGGCCATAGGACACCGGTCGCATTATTTTATTATTTCCGGGTCAAAAGAGGTGATTTCAAAATGACAAGATTGCCCATGGAGCCATATTCCCCCGCGCCAGGAGCGGCAGACGGCGAGAGATCCTGTGTCGGCGGCGATGGCTGCTGCGCCGCCCCTAGGGTTCTTGGACACGTATGGCTCCATCTCACTGTAGAGCCCTCTCATCCAGCCCATGTCATTCTCCGCCGCCGCCGCCCCGCTCTTTGACCAAAACCCATAGTACTGAATGTTGTAGAGCGCCTGCCGGTGCGAGAATGACGTCACCGCTGGCGCGACGCGGACCATCTCGCCGCCGTAGGGGTCGAGGATGAGCAGCCCGGCACCGTCCTTGAGGAGCCAGCTCCAGGTGGTCTCCCAGACTTGGCTGGGCATGTTCTTGGACGTACGGAGTCGGACTTGGCCTTCAAGTACTTGTCTGGCTTGCTGGTGCCCCTGTCCAGGAGCATCTCCAATGGCTTCCCTGTGCCGTAGAACGCGAAGTAGAGCATGGACTAGATCCACATCATCTCGATGCAGTCGCTTGCCGTCACGCCGAGCTCCGGGAAGGTGTCGGCCATGGCGGCGACGAGGCCAAGGCGTGTGCCGACTACCGAGGTACAGGGACTCGAACTGCGCGTTCTGGTTCTGCACTATGACGTGGAGAAGTTCCCGCCGCCGCCACCTCGGATGGCCCAGAAGAGGTCCTCCCCAATGGCGGCCCTGTCGAGGAGCCTCCCCCTCGGCGTTCACCATGGTGGCATCGACGACGAGGTCAGAGGCGAGGCCGTGCTTCCACAGCATCAGGCCGAAGCCGCCACCACTGAGGAACCCGTCGACACCGACCGTCCCACTCGAGGCGTCGCGCTGCCCGCGCGCCATTCCTCCGCTCCGCCGCGTGTGTGAGAAAGAAGAAGGATAGGAGAGCAATGTGGGCCCCCACTTATGATTAGCAAATAGTAATCACCCTACTAATTAGGTACAAATTAGTCCATGACGCGTGGGGCTAGGTGGTTAAAAACCTATTAAAAATTAGATTAAACATACACTGTCTATGACATGTGGGACCCACTGGTGTTTAAAGAAGGAAAGAGAAGGGGCAATCTGGGCATTTAGAAAAATATCTCACCTCTTTTGAACCAGAAATAATAAAATAATGTGACCGGTGTCCTATAGCCATTTACACGTTTTTTTAGTGTCTATCAGCCGTGTCACGTTTTAACGGTGTCTCTCAACCAATTACATGTTTTTTGCGTGTCCTATGGCAAATTTTGCCTTATTATTTTTATTTCACGAATTCACCAGTTGCATATATAATAGTTCATTTTCTTAAAAAATAGCTACCATATGTGCCCATGCGCGAAAACCCTATTTTCGCATGTGGTTTGTGCTGCCCATATGGAAAGATACTAAAAATTATTTTTTATAGTGATAATCGCCGTTATAGTTTAGCCAAAGGCGAAAATCATTTTTTATAGTGATAAGTGCCATTGCAGCAAAAAATAAAATCTTTATACCACACTAATAAGTAATGACACCTTCAACTATTGATTATCTCTATGTGAAACCCACATCTCTATCATATGTTCCATCCACGACGTGCCTGAGACCTACCCAGGTTCATGAAAAAAGACCCCCAAATATCCATCATCTAACTCTCTGCCACCATACACAAAAAAAATAACATATGTAATTTGGATTTCCTATCGCAATGCACGAGCATCTTTGCTATTTTTTTTTTTAAAAAAAGAGAAATGAGAGAGATGAAAGGAAAAGGTTCACTTGAGGTCCCTTATCTTGTCGTAGAGTTTCGAAATTGTCCCTGAACTAAAATACCAGATATAACATATCTATAATCTTGCAAAACCGGGTCACATTAGGTCCCAAGGCAGTATTGCTCCCCGGTTTTGGTGACTTGGTGGCTGAGTCAGCGTGGGACCCATGTGGGTCCTACATGCCAGCCGATAATCTTCTCCCACCTATCTCCCCTTTCTTCCCGTCTCAACCCAAACCTTCAGGGCAGCTGGCAACAGGTGGGGAGAAGAGTGGCGACTGACGGCTGCGTCATGGACCTACACGGCGAAGAGCGCGAAGAAGCGAAGTAGGAAGGGCTCCCGACACGTCGTCCCCTCGGGTTACACCACTACATCGTTGCATGGCAGCTCGCCGCGCATCTGCGCCACGTCCACATCATGGTCGCATGTCAGCCACACCGTCGGGATTGGCAAGAGGATCTCCAAGAGTTGGGAGATGGAGTACGTTGCGACGCCTGAGCATACTCGCGAGCACCACTGACTGCATGAGTGCCCGTGCATGCAAGCGAAGAGGACGCCAGACGCTGAATCGCGAGAGAGGTGTGTGGTGGCCTGTGACCAGCAGGGAGAAGGGTGGTGGTTGTTGGGCGGCGGTGGTAGGTAGAAGCCCGACGACGGCACCTGGCAATGGGTGGGGAGAAGGCTAGCAGCGAACAAGAAGCTTGGCGGTGGCAAGCGTTAGGGAAAAGGGCGCATGCATCGAGGATGATGCGACCACAACGTGGAGTAGATGGAGTTGACCTCGAAGACGATGCGGCGGAGCCGCGCGTTCGCCTCTGCGGAGGAGAGGCGAAGCTCGGGGACACCTAAACACATCGGCTTTTGAGCCGCTCGATGGGGGCGACTATGAGCTTGGGGGATAGGAGTTGGCCATCGTGACGAGGCGGAAGCCCGGGATAGGAGCTTGGCCAGCGTGATGAGGCGGAAGCCCCAGCCCTCACGCGTGCCGGTGAAGACGAGATTGCAGTTGTAGTTGGGACCCGCGCCACACCCCGCACGTGCGCAAGTCCATGACGTGAGCGCTCCCGGTCATTGGGAGCCACGTCAGCTGGCGGCCTCCGCCGTCGAGCTTTTCCCCTCCGACCGACACCCTTCTCCCCACCCATTGGCGAATGCCCTGGAGGTTTGGGTTGAGATGGGAGTAGAGGGGAGTGAGGTGGAAGAAGATTGCTGGTTAGCTTGTGGGGTCCACGTGGGCCCTACACTGACTCAGCCACCACGTCAACAAAACCGGAAAACAATACTACCTTGAGATTAAAAGTGATCCGTAATCCGTTTTGCAAGATTAGGGGTTCAGGGTCGTTTAAAACTCAACGACAAGATAAGGGACCTTAGATGAACTTTTTTGGGAGATGAAAAAACTCCAGCCTCATGGGCCTGTGCATATGACCCATAGGCAGGCGACACCGCGTGCACGACCTCCGCCTCCCCAATCCGTCCCGTCTCCTCGCCCTCCGCCCTCGACTCCCGTCTCCTCGCCTGCCGCTGGCGCCGATCTCCATCCTGCTAGCAGAGGTGGCGCCGGCGTCCTTCTGCTCCCGCCGCATTCGCTCACCGGTGAGCATCCTAATCCATCCCATCCGGCCTCGGCCTCGAATTTCGTCTCCTCGCCCGCCGCTTGCGCCGATCCCCATCCTGCGAGCAGAGGTGGCGCCCGGCGTCCTCCTCCTTCCACCGCATCGTCGCTCGCCGGTGAGCATCCCTCCCTACCCACACCTCATCAGGTATTCTGCATTATCCCTCAAAAAGTTTGGGGGTTCAACGGAAACAGGGTTAGATCTGCCTCTGCCCAGCTCCACCTACTTTCAAGTTGTTAATTTTGATTTCCGTTTTTAGCATATGTAATTTGGTTACTGAATCTCATCCAAACACCCTTAGAACGAAAAATGTAAGCTCACATAATTTGTACTCATCCAAACTCACATAAATTTCTTAAGAAGAATCTAGACCACAAACTACCCATAGTCACACAAAATATCTTTTTATCAAGGTATATTCTTATAAGTAATTTTTATTCCACAAAATTTTCTAAAGGACATACTTTGACACTTGGCATTAATCTAATTTAACTTTTTTTCTTTATCAGGTTATAAATTTTCTAAGACATTTGTGCCACTTGGCATGAATCTAATTTAACATTCTTTCTTTATCAGGTTATAAATTGAAACCATTGAACGCACTTTGTCTTCCCGTCCCTAAAACATTGTGATATATCTATAATATTTTAATATTTTTAATTTTAAAAATAATTTAGACTAATAATATAGATATTTAAATTAGGTAATTAATAAATTCAAATCAACTATAGTTTAGAATAAAAAAACAAAATGATATATGCCAAGTACAATCTAATAACAATAGAATGTTAGAAACAATATGAATTCAATATTTTTATAAATTTTAAGTACGATTCATACATAAAATTAAAGAAAAATATAGATTTATATATAAGTGAGAACATAATAAAATGCAAGGTAAAATTATTAAAGGAAAAATGTTATTAATAAACAATGATGTTGATGTATTTCTAAATATTTTCACGTTTATTTATTAAGTGTCAATGATTGAAATAGATGATTTACCATGTGACAGATTAATTATTAAAATTATAAAATTATATTGTTTTCATCCGTTGCAATGCACGAGTATTTTGCTAGTTTAGATGATATGCAAAGAAATGATGTAAACTCGAGGGTCGAGAGTTTAGAACAGTAGTTTCCCCAAACCAACGGCTCAGACCCCCCTCCCCCGCGCCGCACTGCCGCCATTGCTTCGCCGCGTGCGCCACCAACCCGTCCTTCCCACCGACGAGCCCGTCTGGCGAGCCACAGCGAGGTTGCAGCCTCTCGTCTTCCACCACCATCCCTTCCCCGCGAGTGCTGCTCCCTGTCCCGCCGCCGCCGCCCCGGTGCCCCTCAACCCGGGGAATTCGCCCCCATCTTCCCCCTCCCCGCCTCGTCCCAACTAGTCGAGGGGTCGCCGCCGCCGCCGCTTCCCCCGCTTCCGGACTTCACCAGGCTCGCCGGAGTTGGAGGGGAAAGTCACCGGAACACGAATTGCGAAACAGATCGGGGAGGTCAGGGATTCGCATAAATTTCACCCTTAATTTTCGTTCGGGTACTGTTTGTTTGATCTTACTATCTGTGAGGGAACAAATCAATCCATTAGGTTACTTGCTGATGATGTGATTTGATTGTTGTAAATGGCAACTCTTTTTCCCCCAATTATTTGGGGGTTTTGTTCTATTAAATGTCCATGTCCACCTTTTCGTCGGCCCTTGTCTATGCAATTGCAAATAAAACCTGTAGATTCTGTGATAGCAATAAGAACGGAACTTGCCGTTGCTGCAAATACACTTGTAGCTTCATTCCCGTTGTTTTTTTTCCCCCAATTATTTGGGGGTTTTGTTCTATTAAATGTCCATGTCCACCTTTTCGTCGGCCCTTGTCTATGCAATTGCAAATAAAACCTGCAGATTCTGTGATAGCAATAAGAACGGAACTTACCGTTGCTGCAAATACACTTGTAGCTTCATTCCCGTTGTTTCATTGTTCTTTAGGTGTGTTCAGGTTGGTGGTGAAGAAAAGCCGAAGACTATAAATATAGCTTATCATTTTATTGCTTGTGATTTCTGTCTCCTTGTGCTGATTTTTGGTGTTAAATTTTAATGGTGAAATTGACATGTTGGGAAATTTGATCAGCTGTCATATTATTATTATTATATCTATGGTGGTGTTCTTTTTCCCTGAAGATCAAGATGAAGATGAAGATTAAGTTTTTTACACAAAACGAGGTGGTATTAACGTATTATTGATTGAGTTTTAATATTACAAACTTGAAAAATAGATTAATATGATATTTTAGAGCAACTTTCATATAGAAAGTTTTCGCACGAAATGCACCGTTTAGCAATTTGAAAAGCGTGCCATGAAAATCTTAATCTTCATCCAACTCTTGTTGGAGAAAAGAACGGGACCTATGTTTGGGGTCTAGTGACTGTGATAAGCATAACCTAATTATATTTGTTGTCACCATTACTGAATTGCAAAAATTATCCAAATAGTATACGATTTGTTTATCCACACCTTTTGTTTACCATTGTTTTTATTTAGTTTGGAATCTAGAAAAATTATGGTGGCAGTTATTGTATAAGCACCATCCAGTCAGCCATTTGTAGCTGATCAGTTCCCTTCTTGTAACAGAATAAGATAATACATAAAGAATGGCCGCGCACAACACATCTATGACATGTGAGGGTGACTATGAGGTAATAGAAAATATATTCCGAGTTCTCTTTTGTATCCCTGCTTTTCTATCAGAATCCAATTTACACTAGTTTGGACACATTGTGGAGTTACTGCCTTGTTTACTAATGCTAGATGCACAAATGAGGTCCTTCTTTGGCAAGGGGAAACACAAAATTTGAACTAAGTTTATGTTCATTCAGTAGATGCTAGATACTCTCTGGCACAATATAGTTATATTTTAATTGATGGATGAATTTAGTTTTCTTGAATTTATGCTTATACGTTGGTCAGATTTGTTCATCTTGAATTTATGCTTTAACTTGGGTCAGATTTGTTGATCATGACATCTTCAAATTTTGTAATCTTGAAAGTACAGTTTTATTTTGGTAAAGTTTGGGTAACTTTTAACCTGGATTAATTTGATTCAACATAGTTTATTTGCGAGCCTGAACTTTTTGGGCGATATCTGAGTATGCAAACTTGATAAAGTTCTTATAGCAGACTGGAATCAGTCATAGAACTGTTCAGGCTACTGATGAAGAAGTAAAACTGAAAATAATAACAGAGAGTGTAAAGGTTTATTAGGCCATTCACAGAGATTATTTTTAAAATCACCTTCCTATCTAGATCCAAATTTAGTGGCATTGCACTTCATATTTGTCATTATGATGAGATGTGTTTTGCAGACTGAACAGAAAAAGCAAGCCGCTGCAGATGTCCTTTTCCACTATTCACAGTTTATTATGGTTTGCATTGGTGAGGGTGTTCGCCCAACTGATCTGAGGTTGCATCTTATGAAGGTATATTTTATTAACCTTCGCTTGACTTTTTGTGGTTTGTTAATGATGTGCATTTTTCGTTTGCAAAATTGAGATATATAATTCTCAATTTCCCATGGTGAATTTTTTGTACGATTTGATGTGGTGGGATGTGTCTGCTTAGCAAGGTTGCAATGGCAATGCACATGTTGACTAGGAAGCAGCAGGGTTGGGCACTCATGTGGCATCAATCAGTGCCTAGGCCCCCATTAGAGTTATTGAGCTGCTCCTACTGAATTTTTATCTCCCTGCCAAGTTCCCTCCTTCCTCTAGCTAATTCTACTTAAAATTGCTTCTGTCCAACCAATCTCCAATGAATATCTATAACAGAATTAGTGAGTAATGACCATGTTTATTGATTTTCTGTCTTTAATACATTTTTTCTGTTATTAAATGCTTTTACCAATTAGGTTTTCACTGTATATGTAGGAGATCTTTATCTCCTGTTACGCTGTTTAACAATCACTACTGTACATGATTTGTGCCTTGCAAGATTTCTTGTTTTCGTCAGTCTTTGCAGGCTTGGGATGGAATGATGAAATCAATCATTTCCAATTTGATTGGCTTGATTTAACTTTCTTTCAGTTCAGATTTACAGCCAGGATGCAACTGTTGGGCACATAGCTTCATATAGGATATATTGCAGTCTGTGTTCTCAGTGCTGTTTGGCTTGAAAATATCATCCCCATTTTCATGCAAGACAATTAAACTCAAAAGGCTCTGAATTAATGACCAACCTTCTAGGTACACAACACAGAGGAGGCTTATTACTCATTGTGACTACTGTAGTGGCATGCTGTTTAGCAGTGTTTGAGCCCTGTAGACTTTGATTTAAAGTGGATACCCTTCCAAAGTCTTACGCAGTACTTAGGTGGTGTTTGGATTCAGGGACTTAACTTTAGTCTCTGCATTTAGACACTAATTTAGAGTATTAAATATAGACTACTTACAAAACTAATTACATAAATGAAAGCTAATTTGCAAGACAAATTTTTTAAGCCTAATTAATCCATAATTAGAGAATGTTTACTGTAGCATCGCATAGGCTAATCATGGATTAATTATGCTCAATAGATTCGTCTCGCGAATTAGTCCAAGATTATGGATGGGTTTTATTAATAGTCTACGTTTAATATTTATAATTAGTGTCCAAACATCCGATGTGATAGGGACTTAAAAGTTTTAGTCCCATCTAAACAGGGTCGACCATTGTCTTAGCACTAAGCTAAGGTGAGGTGCATGTCATTACAGGTCACTGCATCAGTCAGTTTGTAACATTGGTAGATGATTTGGGTAAGTGAAAGTACATGTTCCAGCTAGCACAACTGACACTTGAGTACTTGACAGTGCACTATTAATTATTCCTTGCGAGAGTTGAATCTGTTTTATTTTAACAGTTCATGCTTGTAACTATTAGAAAATTAGATTCTCAGCTGTTTCTTTTTTCTCATGTGCAATAGTGTTTAAAATGCTCACTGTAGCCCATAAGGCTCATAATATGCTAACTTTGGTCCTATTTTTGCTTTTCAGGAAGTTTCAGGAATGGCCACTTCTCTAACGAAAGAGCCACAGCAAGCAGCTGCCTCTCCGGATTCTAGTGAACCATCTTCTTCAGGGACAACGAAATGAGACACGAATGAGATCTTCTAAGCTTCTTCAAGAAGTATGATAGGAAATATTGCAAACTAGTAGGTTCACAGCTTGTGGTCTGAGAACTGTTTCTGGTGCAGTGATAGGAAGTATTGATGATGATATACTTGTGTTGGTGATGCTTCTTATGAGCACTTGATTTGAATAAATTAAATGTAAATACTTTAGTATGTTTGGCCCACAATTTGTAATGAAGGAACATGGATCGTGATGTTTCTGATAAAATTCTTGAAGTGCCTAGCCCGCGTTCATGTTTAGTTTTTTTTTTATCGCAATTGTGGTGCTATGCTGTAATGTAATGAATAATGTGCATAAATGTGGATGATGAATCAGAGCCGCTCCTGTAGTAGTACACACATGTGCCAATGCTGTAAAAGTGGCAAGCTATACGCTGCAATTTGAAGCAATCAGGAGTAAGTGAAAGTATCCTCCCTCTATCCAGCGTAAATATTTCACAGAAATCTACTTGGATTCAAGAACAAGCAGAAATCCATCTGGTTGGGAAGAGGAGAAAGAGTCAAGGAGATAGATTAAATATTGTGGCTTAAAGCCTATATCAAGTGTGTACCAGGAGATGACAGAAAGCAAAGATGCCTGTCCTAGGAACGAAAGAGCTGTTCAGAAACAAGTAGGCGGGGCATATCTGCTATAGCAATTAGCATGAAAAAAAAAATTCTACATTCACCTAATATTCAAACTTTGATCACCAACTAGTAGTAGTAGTACTAGTATTTCAGTGTGGTTTATGTAAGTGAATAAAAAGCACATCATTTCCTCATACCTCAGAATATTGTTCATTGGGCGCAGCAATGACAAAACGAACACAATTTACTCGCGTCTATTTTCCTTCGATTTCAGCTCTGGTTTGCACCGTGCCTGTTTTGCTCCACAAAAGATCGCAAACAAGTAGGTTCACAGAACAGAGCATTTATTCACTTTCAGATATAAAACTGAACATCCACAGCAAAGTATATCATCAAATATCCCAAAGCCTGTCAATATCATCATGTATTAAAGAAAAAAAATACCCATACCTATATATGTTTACGTCAAAGTAATGACAAACCGAAGAATTCTCCAAAACCATCGCTCAATTTGCTATGTACCCCCTGCAGTGGACAAACTTTACTCGAACTGAACAACATCCTAAGTTCTTACAAGTAAACCTATACCTCCGATTTCTCGTGTTGTCTTGCACACTGTTTCCCTTGGATTGAAGAAAAACCGCCAAGGGCAGCAGACGATTCGAAAGATCAATTATCAGACACTATACAGAATGCCTCCAGTATCCTTCGCTGATGTAAAAATATCCTGTTACTGTTATGCAATGTTCTTGTAGCTCCTATGCACATTTCATCTCTTCTTTTTTCCCTTACATTTCTGAAGAGGAAGACGATAGCTCAACCTACAAAAGCAAAAGGTAATGGATTTCCAATGAGAACATGAGATGACAGATGAGGCAAAAGTGCACCAGTTCTAAAGAAACAAGATTAATTTCTTCAGTGCCGATGTTTTGTATACTTGCCTGAGTTTCTGAACACCCATCTGGCGTAGTCGAGCACCGATGGTCTCTCTCGTGGTTGCGGCTCCGACACCCTCAACGCCTCAGGATCCCAGCTCCCCGACCACGAGTCGGTGCTCCCAGCTGCCGTGCGCCGCGAGGAGGACACTGGTAGCTCCATTGCGGTGGAGCGGCTGGTGGTGGGGAACACGGCCCAGCTCCCAGAGAGTGTGGCCAGAGAAGAGCGGAGCCAGCCGCGAGATCCCCCAGCATCATCGTCGGCTGCAGCCACCTCTTCATCAGCGAGAGGCAGCACCGGCAGCTGCAGCTGCAGCTGCACCTCCGTCTGAACGCCACGCGAGTCAGCGCCGAGGTGGAGGTGGCGGCCGCTCGTGCTGCCAGTGCCAGGGCTCCAGCTTCCGGTGGTGCGGCGCGACGAGGAGCACCCCGGCGCCGCCACCGCTGCGACGGCGCGGCTGCCGGAGCACGCCCTCCAGCTGCCGGAGAGCCTGTCCAGCGAGGAGCGCAGCCACCCACGAGATCCCCCCACTGCCTCCGCCACCTCCTCGCCTGGCGGCGCGGGCACCGCCAGAATCTGCGACTCGATGTCGTACTCCCCTGAGCAGAAGGTTGGAACGAGGCTTCTCTTGTCGGTGCGGCAGCGGGTGGTGATGGGAGCATGGCACTCGGGGCAGCATAGCAGCGGCGTGACGCGGCTGCGGAGCCAGGCGACGAGGCAGCGCTGGTGGAACATGTGGGAGCACACCGGAAGGACGAGGTGCAGATCAGTTGGGAGAAGCAGTTTGTTGCAGATGAAGCAGGTCGCCGTGCTGCCGCTCATCGCCGGCTGCAACGGCGAAGGTGGCAGCGAGAGCAGCTCCAATATCACCCGCTCCACCTCCGGCAGAGACGGCGCAGACGGCGGCGGCGCCATCGCAGCAGCTGAGGTAGCCGAGGACGCCATCAATCCAGCCGTCCCCTGCACTGCCCCTTGTGCAGAGCTCGACAATGCCACTGGAGGGCCTCTGCCGGGATCGCCTGGAGCTGAAGAGGGCGCGGCCATTTCCGGCCAGGACCTGGCACTGGCAGCACTGGCCCTCGGTGAAGAACCGACAGCTGCAACTGCCGCGCGCCACATCTGAGACATTGCTGATGGCGAAGATGACAAAGCCCTTGGGGATAAGCTGCGGCGTGGGGAGAACGATGAGCAGGACAGGCGGCGCCCACGGCGGTAGCTGCGTCGAATGACAACAATGGCGACAGTCACGATGGCCGTGGTAATGACGACGAGGACGACAATGGCAATGCTGGAGCCTATGGACGACGACGATGACGGCGGCGTGGCTGAAGGTGGCAGGCTCGGCACAGAGGGATACACTACGAGCTCCGGTGGTGGCGGCGGCGGAAGTGGGAGAAGGGGACCGGGTAGCATACCTGCATCAGTGCAGCTTTTTCTCTGATTAGTCCCAAATCAGATGCTAATTCGTAAAAATTGACTAGATAGAGATCATGCGTAGGATGAAGGAACAGATCATGGGTGAAATTTCGTGGAAATGAAGTGATAAAACAACTGGAAATTTGGAATCTGGGACTAATCACACGAGCAGGACGCAAAATTCGATCAATCACGCAACCTAATCGCCCCAATTCCCCTCCATTGCAGCTAACAAGTTCAGGAGAAATTCCACATCAGCAGGTAGCGACAATCCAATCACGCATGGAGTTCCATCAGGTGATCCGTTCAATTCCACTCCCAAATCAAACCACACCACACCACACCAAACCAAACCAATCCAAATCTCAAGCGCAGCTGGTGCGAAAAACCGGAGAATCTCTAGGTGCGGAGAGGGACACGGGCAATTACCGACCTGATGCATCGGCGGCGGGGAGGGGACGAGGACCCCCGGAGCAGCGCAGCTGGTGGGGCGGGGGGCGCGGCTAGACGCTGCACACGCTTCCCTCCACGAACCTGAAGGAGAAGGAGGAGGGGGTTAGGTCTAGGTTAGGGTTCGGGAGCGACGAGGCTGCACTTCACGGGTGGAGGAAGCACCGCCATACATCGACCTCGCAGCAGGGCCAACACGTACATACCTCTGCGACGCTGCCGGCGGCGGCGGTGGGAGAAGGGGGCGGAATCCGGTGGATGCTGCGGTGGCCGCGGCCGGAGAGAGCCGAGACGCGGCGGTGGCGGTGGCGTGAGGGATTGGGGAGGAGGAGGAGGAGGCGAGGCGAGGCGGAGGGGGATTTGGAATGGCGCCTGCGCGGGCGGGAGGAAGAGGAGGAGGAGGGGAGGGCCCACATGTCAGTCTCCTCGGGGCAGATTAGGCCTGGTGGGCTCGGCCCACGGAGGCCTCGCTAGAGTAGGCCACATCTCCGGCCCATCCACGTGTATGAGCCTGGACTGGATATCTCGGCCCATCCAAACAAAGGCCCTTCTGCCAATTTATTCTTCAGAGTAAGAGAGAGAATTGCACATCAGGCCAGACATATTATCAAAGTTTCATTTTGAACCATCTCTTAGTCGGTACTACGCCGACTAATGTAACCCTTGAATATTATAATTTATTTATTCAAAATATATAAATATTGTACATGTTATGTTATCATATTACTTGTTAAGTATATATGAGATGGAACAAAAATGAATCAAGCGATGGTAATTGCGGTGGTATTTGTGATATTTATGTTTTGATAAATCTAGAAATGTTTATTTCCTGATAAACATATTACACTAAGATTAACATAATTTGGATAATGATTTTAATGTTTATCTATAATCATTAAAGCAATAAAACTTAGTTGTACAGATCAAGCATACATCAGGCTAGCAATTGGAGCTGCGTCTTATATAGCTGATCGATTCTTATGTTCTGATTGATAACACAATTAAAATTAAAAGATAAAAAATACAATAAAAAACAAAAGAAATAGAAAATATGCGCGCAGTACAGTAAATGCACGCAATATTTATTATTTATTTGTAAAGGAGTTATGAATAGATCTTTAAGCAGTTTTAAAATTTTATATCTGTCAAGCCTGACAAAAACATTATGCTGGTAAATGTTTAAATTACATATAAAAGAAAGCAAAATAAATGTTTGAAACGTGGTACGTGGAACGCTGGTCTTGAAAAATATGGTACGAAGGGGTATACCTCTTCAAAACGTTTGTTCGAAGGGTGAAGCACGTTCCATGGATTTTCGGGATGATAGTCCGGAATGATATGGAAAATCAGGATGCCTTTGTTCTGCAGAGAATAATTTGAACTAAATATATGTAAACTTTAGGGCTTATATGGATGAAACCATTTGAATACAAGACTTTTCGTAATATTAATAAACTCAAAGGGCTAAATTGAAAAAAGATGAATCTCTTCTCCTTTCACCACATCAGGCCATCACCCCACGATGGAATCCACAATGGGCATGTACGGCCAGATCAACGTCAACAATGGCAGAGGCATGGAGGACCAAGAACTCGTCCTGCGTCATTGCAGTGCATCACCCACATATCTGACACTGGGTTTCTCACATTCTGATCTTCATTTTTTATTAGTTTTGATCGATTGAAGAAGACAACATTCTTTTATCAGTTTTGATCGATTGAAGAAGACAAATGGATACCTCTTCTTTCATGCTTTGATGCCTATTTTTATTTCGATTTGAAGAGATTGCAAGTGATAGATAGTTTGGAATACTCTAGAGTTCAGATTAATGTTCGCGCGGGAGACTGCGCAGGGTTCTCCACCACCTCTCCATATGGACACGTGACAGATTTTAGGAGGGATTCAAACCGAAATATTAGGATGCCATGTGGTCCAATGAGAGGCTAGGGATTGGACCTTGAAATCGGTATTAAAGATTTCACTTTGAACCTACTATACGAATGCTATTATGTTTATTGTTAATCCCATTGTCCTCAAACCTTGAGAAAGTTAAAAGGTTAGAGATGCACAGCAGTTTACAGAAGTGGCAATAATGCCGTGGATAGTAAGTGTGAGCTAATGGCAAAGGTTAATTTTGGGCAGGGTTCATTCAAATAGATACATATGAGTTAGCACTGATTACGAGGCCACTTGTGCAAATTGTTCCCGATACAATGTTGTTATGGATGGATTCTCTCGAATCCTAACAAGAACAATCTGTGGCTCTGTGCAGCTGCCCACCGAGCACAAGACAGCGTCATTGTGTACAGGCCTAAAGGCTACCCTAGCGTACAAAAGAGCATGACAAATCCTAATGGAAGTAACAGTAGTGCCAGCCTTCTACTTGACCAAGTTACTCGAGGAAACAAAAAAGTGATACTTCTTACAACATTGGCACAATATAACAGTTGATCAAAGCTTCAATCTGATACAGGTCTTTCGTCATCACTTGCTTCATCATGGAGGTTCTGTAAGGTATTCAAGCTCCTTCCTACTCTTTCTTCTATCCAGCCTAGTCTCCTCTCAAGTTTTAACACACTACTGTGCAAAACTCTAACATCAACTTCTGCAAGCTTTGCAAAAGGACGTAGCAATATGTAATAATCAGCATGTGCAACATAAATTAGACTACCAGATGATTCCCTCCTAGTATATAGAAGATAACCATCTGAAACCAGCCGTTTCCTTGGAGATACATAACAGAATCCATTTTCTTCCATTTTTGACTTAATGCTTTGTAATGCACAATTCCCTAGTGGCGTAGAACAGCACTTTGTGTCAGCAAACCTTCCATCTCGGCAGCGTTTATTCACTCCATTTGTAGTTCTCAACTTTTCCTGACACAATTTTGCATTCTCATCCTGCAAACCAACAACATAGGCAGTTATGTAATCCAGAGACGGGAATGAATCTAGTGCAAAGCACAACTAAAAATAGCTACATGCTATCATGTATCTCCATCAGTTTAGCCATCAAATCATAGGTAGGTTTTCTTAAAAAGACATATGTAGACCTCAAGGTGATCAACATCATTACAAATTTGGAATTCAAATCAATTTGTACTAAGAAAGAAGAGAAAAGCTTTTGCACAAATAGCAGTTTTGTTGGCCCTCTTTATTTTATTGTTTGACTCGGATTCCTGTTTTTGTTCCTTCTAACACGAAATGAATTCTACAGATATCCACATGTGCTATTATTTCACACTTAGCTATCAGCCAATGTTGAGTAGAAAATTTTTATTTGCAGATTGAAAATTCAATTTTCAGGCTTCAAGTTTAAATTTATGACATGAAAGTTTCACCAGTTAGTTCACTTGGAATCACCAGGTTTTGGTTGGAAGATTGATATTTTTGCTAAAAGTTTGTATGTTCAAAGTTAAGAAGAGTTAATTAGATAGTTAATTAGTGAAAATTTTCACTATATAGAAGCTCTTTCAGGTATATTTGAGCAATAGTGTTTGTATCAGATATTGAAGTCATAAATAGAGTTCACTAAAAAAAGGTGATCTAGCATGTGAAAAGGAAAGCAAATGACGGGGATTTAAGAGGTTAGAATGAGGTAGACTAAAAGCAGCAGTGCATAAACAGTATCCATTATAATTCCCATCACAAAGAAGTTCTGACAATAATATCAAACCAAGAGCATGACCTCTTTCCCTTTGTACATATCCCAAAAGATATCTATTAAATGCTCCTCTTCTAGTGAAAATGTCATTCCAGTAAAAACCACATCTTTGCAGTACTTTAGATAAGAATGAACTTCCTTCGAATAGTCTGTACAATAAGAAAACATCTGAGTTAATTTTGCACCATTAACATGCATTTTGCAAAGGATGCCAAATATATATAATATAGGATCCAAAGTTAGAAATGCCAGAAAATATTTATCCTCGAAACTAAAATGCACCCACTCTGTTTTTGTTTACTTGGCACTTTTGACTATTTGACAATCCCAAAGCACACCTTCCATTTTGCCCTCATTAATTGCCACCAGAATTAGAGGGTTTTTCATATGATATAAAAACAAATGATTGCCTAAATAAAGCTGCCTTAGTTGCAAGTGTAAAACAAACACAAACAGAGGTCATATATGGCCACATGAGATCAATCAACCACCTACATATGCACACGTCAAAACAATGTGTTCTTCTCAAAACAAAAACTTACCAACAAAACACATGTCTACATATAAAGACAGTATCTTGCAGACTGAAAATAGTGTCATTGAAGAATGCATGGAACCAATTATAGCATAGACCAAAACTAAGTCACAAAAGTTCCTGGATCGATGGGTTGAGGAACTGGAACAAGGAACGTAGGACGCCATCTTCTAAAAACATGGAACGAGAGGGGTATACATCTTCTAGGAACGTGTTCCTAGTTTTTTTGGAACGATAATCAGGAAAGTTTTGCTATATTTTCTGGAATGAGAGTGAAATCAGTATGCTCTATCAGCAGATGAAAGGAGAAATCTCACAAACTAAGCTCATTGGGCCATGTGAAAGAAATGAAAGAAGTTAAATCTACACATTGTCATTTGCACAAAAAGAAATGAAAAAAGCATATCTTAATTGGAGATGCAATTAAAGGTGCTCCAATATTCCGCATGAGGTTGAACTTTTTCTGTAACATTCTTTGTCGATATGCTGATATGATAACCTTTTATAGGACTATCCACAGGTAACTAAGAACAGACAAGTCCATCAGTGGAAGTTTTGTGCATTATTTTTGAGACTTCACAATGGCAGTGGCTAATGCACAGGCCCAACAAGAGCAAGTCTATGGCATTAGAAGAGACAAGCAAGCATTCTGGAGCTCTTTGTTCTCTGGGTGAGGAACTATTATGTATAAGATCCAGAAATACGCAAATTTATTCATTGCCTAAGCACAAGCTACAAATGCCATCTTTATGCCGATTAATTACCTCTTCCATAGTTAGACATAGTTATGGTTTCCCTTCAAAAACAAACATAGCTATGGTGCTAGTATAAGAAACTAGTTTAAACTAAAAACGATCAGCATATGCATGACTAAACCTGATGTGAGTTTAGCAAAGAAATGATAATGTGGAATTCAAACAATGATCATCCAAAGTTACCATGTCCAACATTGATTTTATCATAAGAAGCTGCAAGAGTGCACAACAGTTCTCTTGCATCAAACTCCTCACTGTTGTTGCTGTCAGGCTCTATAGAATGTGGTGCACTTGCTTCAGGATCAGATCCAACTGCATTTTCTGTCTGAGCAATACTCTAGAAAGGAATGAAGTTCAGTTCATCAGTATTTACCACAGGTTCTACCACATGACGTAAAGAGCGTGGCCTATATGGAAAACTCACCTCCCATATCCCTTGTCCGTTGATGCCATACAGAACTCTTAGAGCCACTATTAGTATAGCCATTACACAAACCCGTGAGGGTACCCTGCCAGGATTACTGGACAACCAAAGTTCTGCAGGCATTGCCCACTCATAGATGCGACATGCATGAGGAAGGATTTTTTCAATTGGAAGAGATAACTCCTTCAAGAAGCGCTGAGCAATCAAGTAGAAATTAACAGAAGGAAGCAACAGTCCTATCTTTTGCGCTATGGACCCAGCTGCAGCTTCCAGCTGCCATGCTCCAATCACTCGAGTTGGCCTAAATAGCTGCCGTGAACTCAACGGGCAGTCGTTTAAAGAACTTCCAAGAAGCTTGTCGACTTGGGTAAACGCTGCCACATAAGGAAGCTTCCCCTCCATTGCCCACCTGCAAATGTCAGTTGGTAGGATGGTTTCCCGCGCGACATGACAGGCAAGGAAACAGACAGCCAGTGTTGAGTACACAGGCAGCATCATCCTCAATGAGCGCAGAAACAAGAACTCATAGCTGCTCTGACTCTTTTGGGCATCGCCCTCCAATTCAGACTGCTTGTCTGCGCACAAAAGATTCATTCATATCAGGTTCGTTCTGTTTTTTATTCGATGGGCAACTACTAAAATAAGATGGTAAACTGTATACCTTTAGAGGCAGAATGACCCTCCTCCACTGACGCAGCAATAGCGAGCATCTTATGCACCCACATTTCGTCGAACACCTTGGACGCGGCCACCCACCGCAGCCAGATGGTGCCCGCGAGGCTAGCCGCGAGCGAGCCCACCCGGTGACGCTCCACCAGCGCCTCCAGCTGCCGCTGCAGGATCACCTGCAGCCCCCGCACGTAGCGCCACCGGACCCGCGCCGCCACATCCTCCGGGTTGCCCCAGGCGTTGGCGCCGGTCGCGAAGTCCCGCGGCTCGCTGGGCTCGCCCAGGTCGTCGAAGTCCGGGGCGGCGGCCCCCGTGGCGGCGCCGCGAGGGGCCGGGAAGGGCTTGGGGGTGGGGGTGGGCTGGGTGGGGCGGCGGTGGGCGGAGAGGTGGGCGGGTGTCATGGGGAAGTCGAAGGGGTTGGTGGCGGTGTTCTGGGTGGAGGTGTGGATGGCGGAGCACTGCCGGCACGTGAAGAAGCCGTCGTCGGCGTCGTCCTCGGCGTACTCGGAGCCATGGCCGCAGTACTCGCAGACAAGATGGATGCCGCCGCCCCCGTAGTGACCCGGCGAGCCACCGCCGTCATCGTCCATGGGAGGGATTTTTGTTTGATCTTCTTGCTTGTTTTTGCTCGCTGAAAGGGGCGGAGAGGCCCGCGGCGGCGGCGGCGGCGACGGCCGGTGAGCGAGAGCAACCGAGCGGCGGCGTGCGAGGTCAGGTGGGGTTTTTTTTGGGGAAAAAGCGTGTATTTTTGTGGGAACAATCCTCTACCTGCTGGTTTTACAACGCAGGTAAAAAAAACAAAAAAGAATTTTCACTTCTCGCAATTTTATACTCCCTCTATCCTAAAATATAAATATTTCATCCAAAATCCATTATATCTTGGGAATAAGAAAATACTAGGATAGATAGAGTATTTTCGTGATTATGGGTAAGAGCGAGGGCCTTCTTGCGGAATTGTGTGGCACAGCCACACACACATGAGACTTGAGAGACGCTTGTTTAGAGATGGCAACACGATTTGATCACCGATTTTCCGTAGTGAATTCACATAATGGGGATGTGGATGATTGATATCTATCATTTATGGGAAATTATATTGTCTAAAATTCATCATCATCGGGGATGACAAAGGTGGGGACGACGCTCCACCCTCCGTCCTCAGCCCCCCACGGTGACCCGCGTTATGTATGAACCAATTCTAGACTTTTTCAGTCGTAATAGCTTGGCTGACCCATAAATTTAAGGCCCCTAGACTAAGTCAACCCTTAGTCTCATTCCCCATCTCCACCACTGCACCGATCCACTGCGTCGTCGCCGCCGCTCCAGACTCTAGATGATTTGTTGTTTAAGCAGGGACGAGGGCAACCACGGGGAACGAATTCACCGCACAAGGGGGAGGGGAGGGGATGGGGGGGAGGGGTTGGGATGGATAAAATGTAGCCCCGTCGTGGTGGGCGGGGGTGGGGACGGTAAAATTTTAACATCGTGAGGACGGGGACACGAATGTGACACCCGATGGCGAAATATCCGTTGCCATCTCTACAAGGGTGTCGTTATTCCCCTGTTTGAGCGTTTGAAAGCAAGTGGGGTGGGTTGTGGCTGCCTGTCCCACTTCCTCTATGTCTGTTAAGATTTATGTTGATAATCCACATCTCGCATATGAACTGTTAAGAGTTACCACTAAAGCCCGTGAACTAGCCCACAATCTATTTTCACGGTGGCTAGCTCTTCTTCTTTGTCAATAGGTCGATAAAGTTGACTACACAAATAATTTTTCTAGATGAGCAGTCCCCTAGATTCCAGGCAACCCATAAGTTACCGTGCCTAAAAAACCGATCCCTTGAGAACCGGTTCACATACCATAGGCGGCAATCGATCTTCACGTGTGGTCGCCTCAAGCGGCCAGCATACGAAGACATATCTTCGCGTGTGGCTGGGCCACCCGCACGCGAAGATGGTGATCTTCACAGACCTTTTGGGACAGGCGGTGCGTCCAATCACGCATGAGAATATGTTTAGGCCATTTGCAAAAACTGTTTTTGGTGTTAGTAAAGTTATTAAAAACAAGTGAAAACAATTATGCATTTTTTTGGGAAAATTAGTTATGTCTTTGATCATTCCATATAGTTTCACTTGAGCATGTCTACTTACATTATCTATATGCTCTATATAGTTGGCAACAAAAACTAAATATGCATTGAGCCACGTCACCAGCAAAACAAGAGCCATTCGATCATTTTCATGCGCCATCACAAACATCCAGTAGGCATTAAATATCGCCAGTTAGTATCATTTTTCATTCATATTCATTTGACCACTTAGTGTAGTATGCTGTAAAAAAACACTATAAGAAGTATTTCACTTTTCATATGTGTCAACGGGGATACCCGTAGACCAGATAAATAGGGTATTGGGGTACGTTGGCATGATGATCTATACGATACGACATCAAAACAAACAGAGAGACAAAGATTATACTGGTTCAGACCCTTCGTAAGGTAATAACCCTAATCCAGTTTATATGAGATTGATATGGAAAACCACAGAGTACACAGAGAACAAATGAATCCGGCGAGACCCTTGTCGAGATGAGTCGACGAGATCTCCCGGTGAGTAGGCTTCGCGTCCTCCGGCTGCGTAAACTATATATGGTGGGTGTGTTGGCGCTATGATTCGATGATCTGAACCCCTCGAGGGGTGTGCCTTTTATACCGTGAGTTGCCTTAGTCTCTAAGTACAACTCGGAGACAATGAACCCTACACGATATAGAATAAATCCAATCCTCTCTGAGTAGGACTCTGTTAATCACCAGCCCATGAGGATATTTTCTATAATATCTTGTAGATTTTCTTACCGCATACGAAAATATATCGTATGGACAATGGTATACCATACTTGTATATTTCGTAAGTCATAGATAGGAGGTATGTCTTATCCGTAACCATGACAATATGTGAGGTGCTTTTATAGGTTCATAATATTTCTCATATTTATACATTAAAATTTGGGGCAATTGCATGGGTGCCCCCACTTTCGAAGCCAATTGCTGTTCTACCCTCATTTTTTAGGGTTTGCAGTTTTACTCCTACTTTTTGAATCTGAATCAGCCGTGTACCCCCACTTCTAATAGCCGGTTTTAACGACGTTAGTTGTAGAAAAAAAGACATTTATACCCTTGGTGGTTATTGCATTTTTGCCCCTATTTTTTTCAGCTTTGTGTGATTTTGCCCCTATTTTGTGATTTCAGCTTGTGTGATGAGCATTTCGACCAAATATGAGCATCTCTTGTGATGTTTTTTTACTTTAACAAAAAAAAAATCACAAATACTATGCAATTACAAAATTTGACCAAAATTTGAACAAAAATCACAAATACTACTAGCACTCATCGTCGATGCTAGTCTGGACGACGACACATGCGTTGGTGAGGAACTGCAGTGGCAGCGCGAGGTAGTCAAGGCGGAGGCGCGACCGTCGACGGCGAGGGGCGACGCCACCTCCTCGAGCCACACCTGGAGGTAGGCGGCAACCTCGACGCGGCCGTCGCTGACTCGCGCGCGCCCATGGCTGCCGTAGCGTCCGCCTCGCCCGCGGCCGCCACCGCCTCCCCCGCGCCCGCGCCCGCGGCTGCTGCTTCCGCGTGCGCCCGCGGCCGCCGCTACCGCTGCCTCCGCCTTGCCCGCAGCCGCCGCCGCCGCCTCCGCCTCACCCGCGCCCGTGGCTGCCGCCTCCTTCGCCCGCTGCCGCCGCCTCTGCCTTGTCCGCGGCCGCCGCCGCCGCCTCCCCCGCGCCCGCGCCCGCGGCCGCCGCTGCCGCTGCTTCCGCCTCGCCCGCGGCCGTGGCCGCCTCTGTCTCGCCCGCGCCCGCCGCCGCCGCCTCCGCCTCCGCCTCGCCCGCGCTCGCCACCGCCGCCTCCTCCGCCCGCGGCCACCGCCGCCTCCTCCTCCGCCCGCTGCCGCTGCCGCCGCCTCGCCCGCGGCCAACGCCGCCGCCTCCCCGCGCGCCCGCGGCCAACGCCGCCGCCTCCCCGCGCGCCCGTGGCCGCCGCCGCCGCCTCGCCCGCCCGCTCGCTCCTGCGTCCGCCGCCTCCACACGCGCAAGACCAATCCGGTGGAGGGTGGTTGGATGCTTATCCATTCCCTCAAGGGTATAACGGTAAATTGATATTTCATAAATCATTTTTTTTATTTTCATTTGTTTTTTAACCCAAAAATGTGGCGCCCACCTAACGGGAGTTAAAACTGATGGCAAACGGCTGATTCGTTTTCAAAAAGTGGGGGTAAAATTGCAAACCCTAAAAAGTAAGGGTAAAATAGTAGTTGAGGTTGAAAGTGAGGGCATGGATGCAATTGTCCTTTAAAATTTTATGATTGTATTGTACAAATGAATAGTCCGCATTAACGTGTGGGGTATCAATTAGTAGTTCATGAAGAAAGCAACCAGTACCTTCCGAGAAATTACCATTATAACAATAAATAAATACTTGAATTACAAAGGCCTTTTTGACAAGTGGCCCCATTACACAATTCCATAATTTTTTTAAAACCTGTCTTCATGTTATTATTGTATACTAGAAAATTAGTGCGCCAGCCGGTGTGCTCGCTTTATAGCCCTTGTATATTTATTTTATTAAAGTAGTGAAAATTTCACAAAATTTTATAGAAATCAGTTTAATTTCCTTGAAAATGATGCAAAAAATCATACATTCAAATATTTTTGTTGAATGGAATTTTGATTTTCAATTTAAAATAGCATATCATTGTTGAGAAATCCTCAAGTTTTCTCTCCTTTTTCCATCCATGCTATTTATGGTTCTTTTCTTCAAACTGATTAAATTGTCTACTAATGATAAAATAGGTGGTGATAATTTTAAAAAAAATTGAAGTGTTGATTTTTTTAAGGAAGCTACAATGTTCATCATTCCTTGGAACCAAGTAGTTTAATGCATAGACTTGATACAAATGTTTGCCATTACGGCTAATTATTTTGTTAGTAGGTGACATATCTACTGTTGTTCAATCTTAGTATATATATGTACGGTCTCTTGGAGGTGTTTAAGATAGGTGTGTATGTTTTTATAAGAGCGAGTTTACGCGAATTTATATGAGCGTATGCGTTTAAACTATGGCTTTTAAAAAAAATGCGTTTAAACTATGGCTTTTAAAAAAAAAGTTTAAATGTACTGTAGAATTTGTGTCCATTAAATCTTGTCCTCTGCCTAATAAATATCTTAAGAACATAGCCCTATTAACATAACATATGATACCGTAGGTATTTGCTCCTTCTCATAGTCGATCCTTCCAGATTCTCCTCTCTGCAGCAGCAGTGACTGTGTTATACCCTAACTGTCTCACAAGACATACTGCTGCTCAGTCTCGTTTTTTCTTAATATGCTTTTGGGATTTATTTGCCAAGAGCCTGATGACACGTTGGCCGACACCGTCAGCATTAAAAATAAAGGCTAGAAAATCAGCGTGCCTTAGGAGAACACCTGTGCAAATTGTTTCAGTGTGTTATTAAGAAGCAGAAATTTTGCAAATGTTTATGGAATTAGTACAATTTCCTTAAAATTTGAAAATCCTAAATTATCTTTTCTTAGGTATTACTTAGTATTCATTTGTTGCGTATAATTATAATCGAATTGTTTATTAAATGATACTCAACAAATGAAGTGTCTCATAAAATAGGTGATGAGACTTTTTAAAGTGTTCTAGAGGTTTTATTTGCAAATTTATGCTTGATGGGTGGAATTCATGCCATAAAACCTACAACCCGTCCCAAAATAAGATCATCTTCGTCTCCTTCCATTTATCTCAAAATAATTTTATTTTTGAGTAATTATTGCATTGGAGTTTGTGAAAGCAAGAGACAAACATATTGAAAAGTACATAAAATGGGAAATATTTGCATTAGAATATAATAAAGTGGGATATCAATCCTTTTCTTTTGTATTGGTATGTGTGGAATGGGTGAAAATAAATTTATTTTGAGACGGAGGAAGTATTTCCATGCCATAATATATAAAATCTACGATTGATGATGCTACAGTACTCTAATCAACTTGTATGTGGGCTCTTGATATAATTGCTTTGGGTCTATCTATACTATTGGTGACATATATTTGAATCTACAACAATCAGATCTGAACTCTGCATCTTACAAGTTGATGACTGATGAGATTATAACCATATTGATCACAACATAAATCATGGGTGAGCTATGATAAACTTCAAATGATTAAAATCCACAACATAAATTAAATTACATTAATATAATTACACTGTAGTTGTAACTACAATGTAACTATGGTGTAAAACACTATAAATACTAGTAACATCTTTGTGTTGGAATAAATGGGCTAGTCCCAATTTAATTCAATTAAAATCTCAAGGACCCACAATAAATGTTAGAGATAATAATACCACCTTGGAGATTAAAAGTGGAGTATCTCAACTTAAATAGGGAGTTATTGGAGATTCCCTGTTGACCAATTGAGGTGGGGGACGGACAGCCACACGCGTGCGCGCGAGCCAGGCCGGGGTGTGGCGAGGCGGGCGGTTGCAGACATACGAGAGAAGATTGATCTCGATCTGGCCTACTCCACTCTCGGTTTGGTTTACTCCCACACTCATTCATTTTGCAACGGTTGAGAATTGAATCCCTACTCCACTCTCGGTTTGGTTTACTCCCACACTCATTCATTTTGCAACGGTTGAGAATTGAATCCCAATAATTCCGCAGCGATTACTTCTATAACGGCAAGCAGATCAATTCCTCGATTGATTGCGCCGTTACTGCAGGAGCGGAAGCGATTGGGATTCCTCTCCCTTCCTACGCACTATAAGGTTGACAGAGACAGAAGAGAGAAGATTGGTTGAGGATTGAATCCCAATAATTCCGCAGCGATTACTTCTGTAACAGCAAGCGGATCAATTCCTCGATTGATTGCGTCGTTACTGCAGGAGTGGAAGCGATTGGGATTCCTCTCCCTTCCTGCACACTATAAGGTTGACAGAGACAAACGAGAGAAGATTGATCTCTGATCTCGTTCTGGATTACTCCACTCTCGGTTTGGTTTACTCCCACACTCATTCTTCCATCGTTGGTTCATCTCCTTCTGTTCCTGTGCTGCTTCTGTTCTCCCCGGTCATGATCGCTTGCGTGCACGAGTGATTGGGACGAGCAGGGCCTCCGGAACCACACCCTCACCTAAGTATCTGCACGGGTAGGCGGGTGATCAGGTTTTTGGAGAGTGCTTCCCGCACGACTGCTCTTCATCTGTTTGTCGTCGGCGTGGACGTCTTCCGTTCCGGTTCGTCTTCCTCTGCATTGACTACGCCAACATGTCGAACACCGGCAACGATATCAACACTGGAGACAAGGAGAAGGAGGCTCCCGTCAACACCAACGGAGGCAATACTACCTCAAATACCAGCGGAGGGCCATTCTCATGGTATAATGTTTCTTCTCTAGTTGTTGTTGCTGCACTTTACGTATGTGTTGTTGCTGTTTACGTTTCTGCAGTTTACGTTTGTACTGCTGCAGTTTACGTATCTATAGGACTTCAATCCTATGTGATTGTTGATACTGTTTATGCTTATTCTATCCTAAGCATGCTCCTGCTTACGTTCAGTACTATCACTAGATCACCTCACATTGCAAATGTCATACTTATTGTCTCAATATTTTGGATTAAAAATACCGAATTGTGACCATATTTCCAACAGTGACGACGCCACTTCTAGGCCACTTTTAAATGCTTCCATTTGGATGAGGAGGAGAGGATACTGTGGCACCACCAATAGCTCCAACTGTAGCTTCTACCCAAGCAACTATGTGCCAAATGCACCCCAGTCACCACCAACATGCATGACGCTCTGAGGGGCGGACAATATAGGTTGATCCTTCCAAACTTGACTATAAGGAGACAACGTCTTGAGGTCGAGTCTAACATACATAAGGAATCTAAGATAATTTATGCTCTAAGGAATGCTAACTTCCCCAAAGGTAGTTTCCCTCTCTCTTGAGAAGACTAAACACTATACTACCTAAAAAGGGACATGTTTCCGCGTGTGCCACTTCAAGGGGCCTTTACTCAGGGATAGCCTTGCTCTGCTCTTACCTACCCTTGAACCCGATCTTGAGTAGGCGCTTAGTACAAGTCCTCTTTCTAGAACCGGATCCCAAAGCCAACCCTTAGAGCGGGTACAATAGCAGCTGATACACGGGCGATATGCAAGCCATGTAGACAGGAGTGATGCGTTGGCAGAAAAAAGGCATGAGAGAGAGGGTGAGCCGACGACTAAACTGTCGCCTGGCTGCACGCATGTTTCGAGAAAAGTGGGACCCGAGCTCGCATGAAAGCAGTCGGTGTAGCCATTGTCAGACGGGTGTTTCAATAAATTATTGTTGTTGTGAAAGGATGGACAGATGGGGTTAGTAGCTTGCTTATTGTATCGATTAGCTACTAAACTAACTTTTGATGACATGGAGAATATTGCCGCTAGCTGTGGGCGTTACTATTGATCTTGCTCTTACAAAACATATGCATATCAAATCCTAGATTTCGTAAGCTAGGATTGGCAAACCGCATACCTATAAATCAAGTCGAGGGATGAGGGGGATAAAAAGACATGTTTTTTATCCGCTCAACAGCGATATAATCCAGTGTTTAGTGACGCCCCCTGTATCGAAACAAACCCTTCATCTAGTTGACTTGAAACCCTTCAACTCAACTTGACTTCGCAATTTGAAGGACGTGGGTCCTACCACCCTTCCTAGTAAGACCTGAGCTTGCTAGGATGATTTGGGAAGGGGAGGAGTTTGATTCAAGTAAGGGATGGAAGAAATGAGTACACGCATACGCGTGTGCACACCTACACCAATAGAACAACATGCATGGGCACACTAAATATACCACGTGTGCATACACATACCCATGCCAAAGGGGGATGGAAGAAATGAGTACACGCATACGCGTGTGCACACCTACACCAATAGAACAACATGCATGGGCACACTAAATATACCACGTGTGCATACACATACCCATGCCAAAGGGACGTGCCTTTTCAAGGGCTCTGAATAAAACCAATACATATCGTTCAATACCCTTTGCTAGCAGCTTGAATAAAACCAATACATATCGTTCAATACCCTTTGCTAGCAGGCCAGTTGCTAGCTTGACTAGACAGTGCCTTGCGTGGGTTAGTGTTGATAAATAAGGAAAAAAAGAACATACTTTAAGTAATTGCCCTATTTTGGTAATGGCCTCGTTGAGCCTATCAAAATATATCTTATCGAAGAAAGATCTTATTTAGCCATTAAATGCTTTCTGGTATTAATAGATAGGAGTTAATTTAGAAAGTTAATTAAGAACTAAGAGATAGTGGGATGTCTGGGCTAGCTCATCCTGAGCATGGGCCAATGGCCCATAGGCCCATAACTAGCCTAGCCTAGGGTTTTGCCCTAGCTATGTAGTATAAATAGCCTAGACTTATGATTGCCCCACAGCCCCCATATGTTTCCTTGAAGTGTGCTAGGGTGAGTCTTCTTCCCCACTATTATATTCCTCACTATCTCTCACATATCCCTTCTAATTCCAAATCTTGCTATTATATGTAGGGAAGAATTTTGTGTGGCAGGGGTTCAATTCCTTAAAAGCATAGCCCCATAGGGAATCTTTGATTTGGTAAGCTTCCTTTGTGTATCAAGGATTCCAGTCTTCTAATGTCCTTTCTTCCCTCTCCCCAAAGCATGCGGGTGGCTCGCAAGCGAAAGCAATTGCAACCATGCTCTCCATGATCCAACACAGTAAATGATTTTCATGCTAGGTAACCATAGGGGATGATCCCCTTACCCATGGGATTTGCGGGGCTAAATTCCCTATTTTATGGCCGTATATATCCGGTTGGATGTAGAGGTCGGGTAAAAAATACCCTTCTCTAAAAAAAATGGGATTATCCTTGTAGATTTCAGTTTCTTTCCTAATAACAATAGATCAACCTGATGGCTTCCATCTTCTATCCGGTGTCCAACCGCTGTGGTTCTTTTGTTTCTGAGCTGATCTAAAACTCTAATCATGTACTTCCTATAATTTGCAGGTTACTTGGTTTAGCTAGTACAGACCTGTGAAATTTAGGTTATATGTTTTCTTGGTTTGAAGTGTAATGACTTTTAGCTTTCCTATAGGTAGGAATCGAGACTAATTATATATTACCGAGGGGATTGGCCATCAGGCTTAGTTTATATATTTATAATCAACAAAACAAGTGAATTAACAGATCTACAAGCAACATATACAGATTCTATGCGATGGTGTAGCTATATATTTATGCTGGAACAGTAGTAGATAACTTAGGAAAATGGATCTTTCAGCAACAACATGTTTCCTCTAGGCCAAATCATCCTTTTCCTCCAGGAAGAAGTAGATCTGTACTAGAGAAAATTGTGTTAGATATATCTGTTCGCATCAATGCTTCTAGCTTGCTGATAACTAGCCTTCGCATTGGCTGTTTTCCATTCTAGGGCTCCTTTGGAATGCAGGAATTAAAAAACACATGAACAGGAAAGACGTAGGAGCAGCGATGGCATATCTAGTTGATCCTTAGGAATTCTAAAATGCAGGAATTGTGTAAAACTTGTTGTTTTGATGCTCCATATATGGGTAAAGTATAGGATTTTTGGAGAGATCTCAAGGAAAGTTTCCCATGGCATTCAACCTCATGTTAAAAATCCTTCAAATTTCCCATGAATCAAGCCATTCCATAGGTATTTTCTAGAAATCTCAAGTGCCCATTCCTTTGTTCCAAATGAGCATTTAGGTGAAATTTCCATAGGATTTTAATCCTACAAAAAATTCTTCCAAAGGAGCACTAAATTTCTAGTTGATTCGAGGTTGCCTATACATTAGGAATATTGTCAGATGTTTGAAGCTGTTTGAAGATATCTAGCCATTTAGTTCCAAAAGAAGTGTGAAATAATCGTCCTATACCACTGATGCACAAATGCTTTTTTGTGGCCACAAGTTTACACTAGCTATTTCTCCATGAGAGATGCTATCATAGTGCCCAGATGATCACTTTAGTCATGGGAACAGTGAATCTGCACCTGATATTTCATTTTTAAAAATTGGTTTCACTTTTGAAATGCGATAAACAAGGAATAACTCTTTCACTATTGCATGCATGTTGTCAGGATTCAACGAAGGTGTGACGGATTACCTGGCAAATATAAGGTACAAAGTTTTCAAACAGCTAGCACAATTATTTCTGTGTGAGCAACTTTTTTTTTGTACTTTTATGTGTATATTTTGCTGTGTTCTTCATATATATGATAATAACAAGAGAGAGTATTAGTAGTACCGCTGTGATCACATCAAACAAATAAGTTACTCATCACCTTATTCTGTTTGTCTCCAGGGTTCATTTTTTAAGATCACATCATAGTACTGTAAGAATCATGCACAATGATCTTCTATCGTTCCATTTACCTTTACTAGTCGAATACAACTTGTCCATATTTGTATTGAAGTGTAATGGTGTGGAATTGAAAGCTAGCTAGGTTTAGTATATGGATCAGCTGTCCGTGGAAGCAATATTTATACATATATATGATGTTGGTTCTACATTCAGTTTTGTTAATCTGTAACTAATTTTTTAGGTATTCTCTGTTTCATGTACGAAAACATTGTATACAGACGTTACAATTCTCCTTCTCTCTTTAATCAGATAGACGCATGGTACGGTGCAAGGAATAATACACTTTTCACTCACATAACATGGTTATATCTTTGTTATATATATTTAGGTTTAAAAGAGAAAACACCTTTTTATACATAAAGATGAGATTTCCATAGTTGGAATTTTTTTCTAGATATTGCAGAATAAAATGGGCTTGTGAAATTGTTGCTCATTGTATTCTTTTGGCCTTTAGCCAAATTTTCTGGAGGCAATGGACATCACATGTCATTGGCAAATTGTTCACCAATTGTAAAACCTGGGGGATGAAAAAAAAATCTTTTATGGGCATTTTACTTTGAAATACTATCCTTTCTTCTGCATATTTTTCTTTTGCAATTAATTAGAACTGATTTAATCCTTTGCTTAATTTGTATTTCTGTGACTTTAATGTCATAAATTTCTCAAAATTAAAGTGAACGTATTTATCATTCTGATTTGTTTCAATTGTTCAAGGTTGGGAAGGTGTCGAAAATGGAGGAAAAATCTAGTGCTATGTCCAACATTGCGCCCGTCGCACCTACTCGTATTACTAGATATGATAAGGATGACAAGCATAAACCAGTTATAGTTTGTGCTCTGGCTGCTTTACCTATTCCTTCACAACCACCTAAGGCTTCACAAGAACGTAAACGGCAACGTCGTACATTTTGGACAAAATGTGCAACCTGCAAGGAGAAGAACAAATTCCCCATAACAAATCTTGCATGTCAAGTTGTTTGCCCTGCTTGCACAGAAACATTCACAGCAATTGAGGTAGCTAGACCAAGGAATACATCTCTCTACTGTAAAGAAAAATTGGAGTCTAGTTCGTCTGTTGCGGCTAATTCCTCCTTGCAGTCTACTGCTGTAACTCCTATTGCTGATGTGGCCTATCACCCTTCCAATATACAAGGGAAGCGTAAAGATGGAGAAGTGAAGATTAGTGAGGCATTCCCTAAGCCTGCTGTTGAGAAACTTTTGCAAGCAAGGATGAAGGAGATCTTAGAAAAGAAGCTCAACGATAGGCAAGCAAAAGATGAAGGACAGTAACTGATTGAGAAAATGGTGCCTATCCCAAGGTTTGGTGCTATATTATCGAGATATTTTTAGGTTTCCATACTTTTCCTTCGCAAAGTTATATATTTGCTTGTTACTAAAGTTTCTTCCAAGCGCCAATTATTTATTGAAAACTTTTCCTAGCAAAACTATAGATTATTTGTTCATACAACACAATTTGTGAGTAGCTGTAGCCTGTAGAGCCTTTATTTTGGCTTAATATCTATACTTTTAAGCTGGTTGTTTACTCACAGGTATATACCTCCTTCGATATTATTATGGTTTTGGTTTCATTATATAAAATGAATGCTACTGTAGCTCTTTCACTGATTATGATATTTTCTGCCTCTGTAAACTAAAACGGCATATTAATAGACTAGTCTGATAATGACTATAATATATTCAATTCTATATATATTGATACTTGGCATTACTTTCCATAGTCAGTTTAATAGTTCTATGTCCATGTTTTATATGTAATAATAATCCTGGTAGGCCTTCATGCACCCTAGTGTTGTAGTGATCGGATTAAATACTTATAAGTCGATACATGTCTGTATTTTGTTTGGTAATGTTTTATCCTTGTTAGCATGAAATTACTTGTTCAATTCTGTATTGAAACATAAACATTTTAGTCTAAAGAAACAAAAACTTACTTATTTATTCCCCTAGTGAATATTACAATTTTCTGAATATAATAAGTACTTCCATATTACTTTGGTGCATCTAGGTTGAGAAGCACAATTGTGGATTTCGAAGGTGGCAAAGAGTGTTGGAAGACGCCAGATGTGCAACTTGTGGCTAAAAACAGAAGATTGATAAATGAATATTTCTAAATTGCAACTCAAAAGCTAGCTAGACGAATATATTTCCCCCTAAACAAATGTTTCAGCAGAAGATATATACCATAGTTAATTTAGTGTATGCTGAAAATCCTGTAAGGTTCATTATTACTGATGAACAATTATGTTTTATTTGTTCTATTTTGGGGAAGATGTCGTTACAAATATGCATGGAATTTTCAAGTTTTTATGCCAATTTTCTTATTTAATGATTGTTTGATTGGTATATTAAGAGAGGACCATTGCTACACCCTCGAAACAACCAATTCTAATTTGAATACACGAAAAAAACCACATGTATTGGAACTCTTATGATTGTGATTGATATCTTAAACTAATCCTAATGTGGGATTGTCGAATAGGCTTGCTGATGGATTCAAATTTTATGTAATTTGGATTTTGTAATACTCCGCTCTTCAATTATCACTAGAACGGATACCCTCATCTCAATCGGGCGGTAAGCTCCATCTCAATCGGGCACAGAGTCCGTCACAGGCTAGAAGTCACTGATGTGAAGAGTTATCTCAATCGGGCAAACGGCCGTCACGGATGAATCTATCTCAATCGGGCCCTAAGTAAAGTCCGTCACCGATAGCTTTGACCCAGACGACCAGTCAAACTATAGCCCGTCACAGATGACCTATCTCAATCGGGCCACAATTAGTGCCCGTCACAGATGACTACTAACCTTTATTGGGCCTAAACTAGAGCCCATCACAGATGACTACTGACCTCAATCGGGCCTAAACTAGAGCCCGTCACAGATGACTATTGACCTCAATCGGGCCTAAACTAGAGCCCGTCACAGATGACTGTCATCTCAATCGGGCATTTAGTTATGGCCCGTCACAGATGACTATAATCCACAAAAAAAAATAAATTTTGTTTTTTGGCTAGCCTCAGGCCTTTGCTAGCCATGCCCGCTGCAGAAATGACAGAAACAAACACAGATATCCAATATCCCCAGCTCCCCAGCATCACCCATTCATATACATATGCATTCACATACACAGACATCAATATATTTCACACAACCACACATTCACAGCCATCTCATATTTCACATCCATTCACATATTTCACATCCATTCAAATATTTATCATATTTCACCTGCAAAACCAAGTTAATTGGATCAAATATTTATTTAGCAAGTCTTAACATAAACATATGAAATATATACATAAATATAAGCATCACAGTTACATCATCACAGTTGCATAATAAGTGTTCATCATTGCCTAAACATAAAAGTTCAACATTGTTCATCATTTTATTTTAAGCCTAAACATTCCTTTGGGGTTAATTATTTTGTGGAGGATGAAGCTGGCTATCTCCTCACGAACCTTCTCAAAGCTGGTAGGCAGAGACTTGGTTATTGTGCCCTACATTGTCATAATTCTAGATTAGTTGATCGATCATATATAAGTACTAAAATGTAGTTAGTCTATCAGAATTGAGACCACCGACCTCAAACTCAGCCAAAGTCTTCACCTTTTCTCTGTACAGAAGGCGCATGTTGTGGCACACATGGAATCCGCACTGGTCACCTATTTGTTGCTTCACCGGGAAGTCTTTTTTGTGGATGAGGGTGTCATGTCCTGTCTTCCTGAGGCCTCCTCTTTGCACGTATTGGGCCCATGCTTCATCTATCGCTAGTTGAATTGGGGTCCAATCATATGCGTTCTTATCAATTCTGGAGTTTAGGTAGTGACATGTACTCCACTTAGGTGTTATGACCAGAAGGATCCAATGGGCACTGCGGCATTAATATAGTGAAAGTTAATTAAGTACTGAAGGAATGTGTCATGCTATTGTGTATATTTAGATAACACACTTACTATTGATTATAGGCGCACATAATGTACTCCTTGTCTCGGCGGGACCACAAGGTGTCGTAGATGTAGTTGACCATTCCTTGACGGTCATTCTGGAGATTTGTGACAGTGACCACTTGTGGATCAAGGAAGGCAAGTTCTGGTGCATTCTTCTGATACCATTGCCAACTTAACCTACACACAGGATAAACGATCTTGTAAGCGAGTTAATCCGATTGTTATTACCAGATTGAGTTGGGCGACAATACTTACAAGGAGTAGCACTTAAGGAGGCTTGTGTCAACCGCTCGGAGCCTGTAGAGGTCGAATAGATCCTTGAAGTCGACGACGATATAATTTGTTGGACCAAGGAATGGCTTTCCATCGTGCTCTCCAAGGATATTGGTAGCTTTATTCGGCTTCCTGGCGTTAGATTTCTCCATGTAGTATGCGTGAAGGTCCTTGCAAGCGGTGCCCATTGCGGCAAGCACGTCATCTCCAACCAATGGCATGCCTAGTTGGAACTCCTGTGGAGTGACGTATTTTTTCTTGACCTCTTTGCCCTTAGTCTCTTCCTGGCCCTTTCCCAGATCTAGCTTCCTTGGAGCTAGAAGCGAGGACTGCACCTTTCCTCCCCTTCCTCTCCCCTTTGCTTCGGGTTTATCGAGAGTAATTCTCTGAGGGGAAGAGTGTGCCTTCCTGCTCTTCTTCATCGGTGTGGGTTCATGAATCGCCTTGCTGTCGGCCTCCGTTCGGTCCTCCCCAAAATCCGTGTCGTACTGCAATTGCACATCGTAAGATTGTGCATGACGATCTTGAGCAGGAGGGGCTGAAGGAGCAGAGGCGGGTCTCTTTGGTGGACGACCGCCTGGTGCAGTGGTTGGCCTCGCTGTAATCTTGATCTCAATGAGGTCTTTGGGCCATTGGATGAAGGTACCACGGGCATTTCCTAGTGAGAGGACCTCGTCATTCGGTGGATACTTTAGTGGGAATAGCTCATATTCCGGCTTCATCGAGTCGACTTGAACTTTTGCACAGTCACCCCTGAGTTGCGCTCCATGCACTCTTGTCTCTGGGGTCGGCTTGTACGCAAGTCCCTCGGCTGCTGGAACCGTGAAGGTCGGCATCACCCTAACTGTGAGGGTGCAGCTCGTTGGTTCCTGCGATAGATTAATCAATTCTTTTAGAATATTATATATCATATGGACTCGTTAAGTCTTTCATGCATTGTGGACGAAACTTTTACCGTTATGTGGTCGACGGCGCTGTCGACCGATGTTGGATTTTCCGCCACCTCAGTTGATGCGCAACTGCTGCGTTTTTGGGTGGGACTTCCTAACTCTTCGTGCGCAGCAGCAGTGGCAGCCTGGGGGTTCTGTTGCTCTTCTCGGATCTCTTGCCTAATCTTGGCCCTCATCGACTCGAGCTTTTCGTCGAATTCAGATGTCAGCTCAGCTCTTATCGACGCCCGGATCTTGGCTTCAAGGCGTGCATCTTTCTCCGCCTTGTTGGAAGTCCGCTTCTTGTACTGCCACGCGTAGTCTGGAAATCCATACTTCCAGGGAACAGAAGACCCAACGCCCCGTGTCCGTCCACGGTGTTCCTTGTTGCCCAATGCTTTCGTGAGGAGGTCGTCCTCACGTCTTTGAGAGCAGGCCTCTTGCGAGGCTTGTTGCTCGGCAACTAACTCCTTCTGCATTACAATTTAGTGGGGTTAAATAAACTGCACGATGGGAAACAATGCAAACATCTAGTTTGACTAGACACTTACTATAGCTTCGTATACTCGTTGATCTTCTGCATTTGGCATGAAGATTGTGCCATCATCATTCTTCTAGTACCTGGCCCTGGCCCAGTTCCTAGCCCAAGGGTGTGGGATATCACCAAACACGAGCGGTGTGCACGATTCCTCCGCTTCTTCATCCTCACGCTGCCATTCCTCTTCCTTACCGGCATATCCGGCGGTGCCAAGCCGGTGCGGATGCTGGTTTCTGGTCTGGAGCAAGCGATATGCCTCGCTTCTAGCTCTGGACTCGGGGGTCGACTTCTTCGCATGGAATTCCTCCCAGACCTGTTCCGTGATCCAAGGAAATTTCTCTCTTGGATCTGGATTCGCCGGGTTGTAGACGAACTCGCCGACTAGCTTAGTCTTGAAGTTCTTCCAAGCATTGCCCATAACCTTGAAAGCAGCGCGCCTGAGACAGTCCTCATGCTCCGCAGGATAATCAAAGCTCTCCTTGAACGTTAGCCAAACAATGTCCTTCTCTACGGCCGGCACGAGCTTGATGTCATCTTGCAGAATACTGAATTTCTGCCTCCCTATGACCCCGCAGATAGACCTAAATCGGCTCAATATTTTCCTTGGAGATGTCGGCAACCCTACGGCGTCCACCGCTGTTATGCGGAACCGTTCCTTAGGGATTTTGTTCCCTGTCCTAGGAGTACGTGCCCTTGAGGACCCACTAGTTGTCGTCGACATTGGTTCGCCTTGCTGAGACATCGTCTACTTTTTTCTAAATAACGAAAATACACTATTCAGTGCTTCAATGGCTAAGAATCCAAAGTTCTAAAATCTATTAGTCACATAAATAAACTAAATTGCACATCTCACAGTAATAAAATGAATTGAATGTCACATAAAAATAAATTAAATTGCACATCTCACATAAATAAACCTAATGTCACATCACATCTCCTTCTAAATTTCACTAAGTCCCAAGAATCCTAATAATCCTAATAATTCCACATATCATCAAGTCCTAAAATCATACATTCACCACATTTCATCTATTCATCCGACCACATTTCATCTATTCATCCGACCACATTTCATATATTCATCTATTCATCCACATGGGCGGCGCGATGGAGGACTAACCTGAGCACGGTGAGAATGGCCGGTGTGGCTTGGTAGCGGGCTCGGTGGAGGCGGCGCCTGGCTCGGTGGAGGGCGTCGCCGGTCGGTGGAGGCGGCGCTAGGCTCGGTGCATGCGGCGGGGTCGGTGGAGGCGCCGGGCTCGGTGGAGGCGGCGGGGTCGGTGGAGGGTGTCGCCGGCGAAGGATGACGATGGCAGCGAAGGAGGAGTTGGCGGCGGCGGCGCCGGGCTCGGTGGAGGGTGGCGCCGGTCGGTGGAGACGCCGGTCGGGCAGGGCGGCGCCGGGCGGGCAGCGTCGGGCTCGGTGGGGGTCAGCGACGTGCGTCGGTGAGGACGCGGGAGGTGACGACGAGGAAGGCCGACGCCGGTCGGTGTAGAGGCTCGGTGGCGGCGGCGGTGGGCTCAGTGGCGGCGGTGGTGGGGGTCGTCGGTGAGGAGGCGGCGTCGGTCCGAATGGAGGGCGACGGCTGCGGGCT